TATTAAAAAACAATTGAATTAAGAAGTCGTTGTTAAGCTGACATATGTTCCTTTGCTTTATAATCGCCGTGATTCTTACATTGTTCTCAACATGCATGGAACATACGTAGTTGGTGGAAGGAGCGGTGGTGCAGTGGTTAGCACACCGTGCTGTGAGCCCGGCGACCCGAGTTCAATTCCCAGATGCAGCTGGCTTCACTGGCGAGCATTGTCTGGATGTTTTCAGTCTTCTCTGAGTTTTTTAGTTTTCCTCTTTCACATGCAAACAAATAATTACGATATTAGCAAATATCTCAAATGCAGGGCCCTACTAACAAAAAGTATTTCGAAGCTCAGACCTAAGTTGATAAATGTATTAATTGGTTATACGTTTTTTTGTACCAGTCCAACTATAACAAGTGCCATTGTTTTCTTACACCAATTATAATAAGCACTGTTCGGTTTTCAAGTTTAAAGATCGTTTTTGGGTAATGATGTTTTGCATATCGCAATCTGCAAATTTGGAACTAAAACACGAAAAGGAAATCGGCAAAATGCAATAGGAAAAAAAGAGACCACTTGGTAATTAAATGTAAGAAAACGCTCTGAGTGGAAACGTTCACAGTTATGAAATGACCATGGTGTCAAGCGCTGCCATCTAGCAAAGTGCGTTTCACGTAAACGAAGAAGATTGAACAAATAATAATGATCATGATAATAATTTCATGCACCTCTGCCCAAAGACAATTGTAAATACAGGGGCAGATGGGGCCACCCTTGCGAGCCTGGAGATTCTCTGCCGTCAAACCTCGCTGCTGCTGAGGCTGTAGCCCGTGGCTCGTTCAATGCCCTCTTGTGCGGAGGCCACTCGAGTCCTGTGCGTGGTGCCGCCGCCGCCGCCCTTCATACACTGGTGCGGCAAACCCCACCAGAGGTCGGTCCACGAAATTAAATCAGGCCAAGAGAGCGGTTGGGCATTTATTGCACCGTTGCTTTCAGTGTGGTCGCCACTTAGCCACTTAGTGGGAGCTTGATGGAGTTTTTGGTTTAGTCGTTTTATCCATGAGCTGCCTGGCAATTTAGATTGGGACTCATTTAATTGTGCTGTCTGCGAAGAACATTGTAACCTTTTTGTTGGCGTACATCGTCTTGGGCCCTTGTGCGGCATTGCCACCAATTGTGTTATTGGCACTATCGCTGCATTGTTTTAGGTCGGAGACACTTGAGCACATGTGGCCATGGTTATCCAAAAAATATTATTGACAGCATTGGTAGTGATGGAGAAGTGGCAGACTGCAAATGCTGCATCATCATTCTCGTTAACGAACACTGCATTATGTCGATTGTTTACAGACATCTGGCTTCCCACAAAATAGTTATAATTTAAATTACCGCACTTTGATGATGGGTTGAGTCAACCCCTAGCTCTAATTGGAACTCCGTTGTGATTTGAGCGCTTTTCCACGCAAAGTGTTACTTCAATCATTTTCTCTAGCATCTTGATTGTTACGTGATATCTACGCGTGGAAAACTATTCATTTTTCTGTTTGTCTACTTACTCTCGATCTTCATTTGAAGAGAAAGTGAATCTATCTCGCTTTGGTTCTTACCCAGGTAAAAAAAAAGAGAGACATTGAGTTTAATTAAATTTGGGCAGGCAGCAGGAAACTGATAATTAATAAACGTTGAGAGCAAGCCCATTAAGTGGTAGGCACCCGTGGCTACTGCACAGTTTGAAATTTTTATTCGGTATCCCAGCTTTTAGAGGAGGGCTTCGATTTCCGGCTTCTGGCATAATTCCGAAACTGAATCAGAAATTATTTTTTTTTGGTTTGCATTAAATATTCCTACAGATGACGGAATAAAGTGCCTCAATGCATATTAGCATTTAAAGGGGGTTATCTAAAAAAATGCAGTTTATACGGTTCACTATAACAGCAAAGTAAAAACATAATTCTAAAACATGCCAAATTAAGTGAAATAAATGTGTCTGAAGCCTGCGCAAGGCTCTTTTTGTCTTCTCAACAACTGCTGCTTTTTCTTCAAACCAGCCAGACCTGGATTTATGATTCGATTTTGATACATCATTGGCTGAGCAATACAACCATCCTGGTGATATTAAATACATTTATATAATCTAACTTGTTTTGAGCAAAAAATTTGGCCACCAATTTTGGCCACAAATCCCGTCTCCAAGAATAGAATTTCATGGCATTGGTGCCAGAGAAAGTGGCCTTGTTTTCTGGCGGCCTAAATCCCAAGGGCTTGACTAAAAATTCACCAGCGGGTCGATGCAAATTGAAAGGGTGTTTGCCGACGGCAGCTGTTCATCTTTGTAAGATGATATGTGGATGAATCCCGATGATGGTTGAAACCATAACTATTTCGAAATAGAAAGAAAAAATAAACGGATGCTGCCGTGGTGCAACGGTTAATACGCTGCCACTCCATAGGTCGTCGGTTAGTGTCGTTGTCCCGGCACAATGGGAACGTTTCTTAAATCGCCCCCTGCTTCTCTGTCCACCGAGAAGCACACATTGGTACACCGGTCGGGGAAAGTGTGAGCACTCCCACCTCTTCCAAGACGTCCGGCCTGTGTGGAAGAGTAGGCCAAAACACACCCCCTCTGTTCCCTCGAGTAGAGAGAGGCCCTTTGGCCAGCAGAGGCGTGAGAAAAGAATCGATCAAATGGCGCGACGAGAAAGTGCTGCCAAAGCCCACGTCGTGAAAACAACCGCCCCGTGTGCTGATGTCGTTTAGATGAATGGCTTCGTGCACGCACAGCGATCATGTTTTTGTAATTTCAAAAAGCTGTTATTAAAAATGGCAACGTGATTGAGTGTTGACTGCGTGTGTGCCTTTGTATGTGACCCAGGGCATGATTCATACTTTGGGATGATTGCAAGTTCCCTCTCTGTTTTGTTCTTTGCATTTACTCGAATGATTCCCTTTAAAATGTGCAGAGATAGTTTTTTTTATTGAACGTGGTCGTAATTGTTTATTTATGTTATTTCCAAGTTAACAGTGCATTTGCACACACGGCTGTTTTTTGTGAACACTAAAAACGTACGTTTGTATGGTTGAGGTTTATTTTTTTTATCAATTTCATTTTAAAATGCTGGGCACAAGTCGGATTCTCTTCACTGATGTGTTCCACTATTGGTTAGCAGTTATTTTCCATGTCAATGACAAGATAATACATCTTTTGTCACCGTAGCTTGGATGTGAAATGCAATATAATCCCCGTTTAAATACTGTCCGAAAATAATCAACATTATAATTCACAACCATTTGTCAAGTTTTTGCATTTTGGCCCAGGTTCTTGTAACTCCGAACAATAAAAAAAACGTATTGCAGCTCTGAGTGGTATTTAATTACACGTGTACAAAAATAACTCTATCACCAAAGTATAACATCCTGCCTCATACCCTTCAAATAACTCTCCGTAATCTGCAATATGTCCAAAGTAGTTATATCTACTCCCGTACATTTCCCCCTTTCGTCCTTCATCGCTGCCTTAAATGTATTTACCCAACTGAACCCTTCAACTGGAATCAACCGCCCCATACGTTTACATCAAAACAGAGTAAAATCTTCCTCTACCGTGTTGTCGTAAGTCAGGAGTGCTTGTTTACTCAGATACACTAAAACTCGGATACAAATACAGTAATACCACGGATACAAGAACACCCCGAATTTATGTCGCTTTGCAAATACGTCATCGCTCTGTTTAACACCTGATTCCTGCCACCTCAACCAACCCACACTTAACGTCGCTGACATCATCGTCCGTCCTTTCTCGTGTCCGTCACCTCTCAGCCTTCGCCTCCACCACCTTACCCTGTCAAATCGCTTTCATTGACGTCGTTTCAATAGTTCGCCATCGCACCTTTCAGGAACGCGGGCCGATCTAAAGCGGGGTATTAATGTGTACTGCCTTCTTTCGTGAGCGAGCTAGTGAGGCCTACCTCACTAAGCACGGTGACACTGGCTCGTGGACTCTGCCAATCGCATTCTACAGCTAAGGAGCAAAAAACCATCGTCGCGCGAACTCCGGTCACCCTCCCAGCAGCGGCTTTTGGCTCGCCATCGAACAAAGACGTTCACCGCATCGGCGCATGCTTTCAGATGCGCTTCTGCGGCCAGCCTGGAACGTTCTTCCTTGCGATATTAGGAAGCCACTGGAGCTATGCACTTTTAAATCAAGATTTAAAACTAATTTCTTTCAAACTGCTTTTTGTGTTTAGTTTGTTGTCCTTCCCCCGTACCTCCGATTAGCGCGGTTGGCTACGTATGGTGCGAAAGAAGTTCAACATACTTAAATAGGCGCAAGTCCCATGGTTCTGTGTGCGCTGCTGTCAACCATGACCATTTCCTGAATCGTTACGTCACTGTAGTAGATACTGGATATAAGCACACTGGGACTTGCTTCCAAACGGTATGCCTAAATTCAAGTATACTATGCACAGTAAATTGATTCTATAGTATGTTACTGTGGTTTAGGAGGGCAGTGGGGGTGGAACCCATGTTCTCATTCGTATATGTGTGTATGTTTGTTGAACTCCTTTTTCACCGTACGGAGCCAACCATGGTAATTGGAGGTGCGTTCGACATCTTACACAGTCTGCTTTCCAACTGCACGCCTGACTTAGTTATCCCATGTTCCGTCGTGAGCATTTACTTTTGCCTTATAGGGGCCCCACGTGATTGCGTGTGTGTGCGTTGCAGTACAGGAGCCCCCCCCTGATTGCTCGTGTGTGTGTGTTTTTGTGCTGCTCTGCAGGGAGCCCCACGTGATTGTGCGTGTGTGCTGCTCTGCAGGGAGCCCCACGTGATTGTGTGTGTGTGCTGCTCTGCAGGGAGCCCCACGTGATTGTGCGTGTGTGCTGCTCTGCAGGGAGCCCCACGTGATTGTGTGTGTGTGCTGCTCTGCAGGGAGCCCCACGTGATTGTGCGTGTGTGCTGCTGCACAGGAACCACCTATGATTGCGCGCACGCGTGTGTGTATGCTCGTCACACAGGGGGCTCACGTGACGATAAACGCTCGCGCGGAGGAGGACGTGGAGCCCGAAGTGATCATGGAGAAGGTGGGCAAAGCAGCCGGCGTGACCTTCGGCCTCCAGCAGGAGAACTCCTGCTTCGTGGACAACGCGCCTCGGAAGCCCGTGGTAAGGCGTTTTAACATTTCTAAATCGAGGTCAACAAGTCCAAGTCTTAACGACCCAACGCTGTCGTCGCTTCCTTCCTTCTGCCAGAATCTCTTATCTGTTGCACAGTTGACACCTGACTGCCAAGATACGCTTTGACTCTAAAATCAACAATGTCCGCATTAAGGGCTTCCCATTGGTCAGCGACCTCTGGGTGCCACTGCCGTGGCCGTCGTCTTAGTAACCTGCCTTCCTCCTCCCTGCACACGCACCCCTGATTAGCACGGTTGGCCACTATATGGTGCGAAAGAAGTTCAACATACATACATACGTGCCCCATCCATCGCAGATTTCTGAGTGCCCAATGCAGTGGTTCCCAACCGGTGGTCTGCAAGGCCCTGGGCGGTTGTCCGAATACGTACCGTATATTAAGAGACCAAGAGGTTGATTTCTCATTGCTTTGCTCGTCTTATTTGTGATCATTTGCATTTATATGCGTAAAAGGTTAAAGGTGCAGCCCTGCAATAGCTCACTCACGCGACCGCTAGCAGAAGGACCTCCGCTAGAGGGAGCTCTAGAGAGCCATTCTAGACGTCTTGGAAGAGGTGGACATCCCCAAACTTTACCCCACCAAACGCGAACTGCCGATGGACAGAGGTGGTGGGGGGGGAGGGTGGATTGTTTGTCCTACCGTGACGTGAAATCGACCTCTGGATATCAAGTCCAGTGTGATAAATCCATTACACTATAGCACCCACGCCATTAGTATGTAAAACCATTCCAGGAAATAAGAGGAATAAATAAATGATTAAAGCTATTTTGGAAAAAAACATAGCCATCAACATCGCCTTGTGCCAAAGTTCACAGTGATCTTGTGGTTTTATTCCCAGCATGGTAACTTCATGCTTTCAATCCAGCACTACGGAGGCAAAGTGAATGTTGTTTTACCATGAGGGGGCAATGCAGATTGACGAATGGAAGTCAATGGTGGGATGACTTTGCTATTTATCAATGTGCTTCTGTTGTATCGAATTTCAGGGCTCTGTATATCAGAAGACCAATGCTGCTGTGGAGATCAAACGGGTGAAAAACGACGGCTTCTGGGCGAGGGCAGAGGTACGTAACGGTTCCAGGAGCTCCTGCTTCTTCCGTGTATGGCGTGCGGGGGTGGGGGGAAGTTGAGTAGCCATGTTTGTTTGAGTGTTCCCTTATAAGGGCCCGTCGATGTCACCGTCCGCGTTGATGACGACGACGATGATGTGCTGCGCTGATGAGCAGCACAAAACGCGACGAAGGAGGCGTTCTTTCGTTACATCCTCGTGAAGTCAAATCGCAGTAGGTAGGGAGATTCATTTCATAGCCAGAAGTGACATCTCCCACTGAGACGAGAAGTCTGTTTGTAAAAAAAATGCTTGCCGGTTCCTAGCAAAACCTCGGTGCCCTCTTTTTCATTAAAAACTCAAGTAAGAAACGTATCGGTTTCCCCTGCCGCCCCCCGATGTGTAACTTCACTGGGAAAATTATTAACTGCACATTGAAGCAATACATACGTTAGATTTGTATTTATTGTGTGTGCGCATGTGCGCGTGTGCGCTGTAGCGATCCGCTTGGAGAGCCGCCGCGTGTACAGTTCCGTGGGGTGAAAGATTCAATTAAGGTTAAATGCAAAAACTTTACCAAGTCATGTCAACTCGACAGCTTTCACTGGAAAGTCTGCGTCACGCTGTACGCTCAGAAGCGCTGCCGTAAAAAAATAACACCCGTGTCAATGGCAGTATTGAGCCATTTATTTTCAAGCGTCCGTTTGGCTTCGTCGGCTCGGTTTCAGTGAACCAGAAAAGAGCCAAGGTGGAAAATATTGTAAACATTTGCAAATTTTGCTTGAGGGTTTCTGAAAACACCACGAGAACTGGAGACGGTTGACATGTGGTGATTTCCCGGTGTAAAAATGGCTCCGTGACCACAACGTCATCCGGACCACGGCCGCCGATGCCCCACCGCACCTCGCCCGGTGCGTTTCTATCGTCTCCCAGATCCCGCAGCTGTCGCGCAGTCGGAGACACGTAAGCGACCTCCATAAGACCTGCCCTGACAGTCTCCCGCCAGCTGTTCTTAGGCCTTTCCCTTGGTCTCTGGACTCGTGCCTGTCTCGGCAAACGGCCCTTCCCCCATCCTGCGTCGTTTCCCAAGCCAGCGCGACCCACTCTTGGCTCAGTCATATCTACAACACTTGCCTGCCACCATCACTTCTGGATCTTTCTTGAACTAAGTGGCTTATCACGTGGAAATTTAGAAGAAAATTCATGAGAAACGTGTTTAGAGTATTTTGCTGCTGTAAATTTCCACACGTAGGCCACTTCGTTGAGCAATCAATTGTGACCAGGTCACTTCTGAAAAAAGAGCAGTATAGCTCAGTCGGCCTTACCTGGTAAAATAAAATAGTTTTATTTTATCGTTTCGTTTCTCCTAAGGACTCCGAGGTCAAGGTTCTGTTCCTGAGGTGGTGATCAGGCTTTGACCACTGTGGAGCTTCCAGATTATGGAACAACGCTTTGCCTTTGCTAACAAGACAATAAGAGTTGTGAGAGCTGTTGTTTAAGTCTGTCTTGAAAACTCACCTCTCTAGATTGGCCTTTACCCCCCCTCCCTGCTAGTTATGGCCGTTTACCCTGCAGGGTTTGTTTATTTCCTGCTTTCCACACGTGGTGGCGCATTGGGATCTACGGATGCCCCTTGCTAATGTAAATTATTACTTATTTTTATTTTCTTATTCTGTTGTAACGCCAAATTCCCAGCATCTCTCCCAGACGCAAGTGCTTAAAATGCCAACAACTTATTTTCCAACTGCTCAGTTCGATTTTATTAGGGAGCCACTGGAGCTGTACACTTTTTAAAATCTAGATTGAAAACTCATTTCTTTAGCACTGCTTTTTGCGTCTAGTTCTCCTTTCCTTTCACCTCTGATTAGCACGGTCGGCTACGTACGGTGCGAAATTAAGTTCAACGTACATACACGCAAACAAACATACGTAACAGTTAAGCTGTCTAACCCTTACAGTCCTTTGGTTGACTCAGCCCATCGTCGCTGCTGCTCTTTAGGTCGTCCAGAAGTGGTTTGACTTACGGAGACTGACTTCCGTCGTGGGAATGCGCAATTGCCACCAGTGGCTCAGAGCTGCCAACAGAAGAAAAGTGTGAAAAATAAGAATAGGTGTTTATCCTTTCTGGCAATAAAACAGGAGTTGTGTTCAGATGTTCCAACACCGAATAGATTCCTTTTTGCAAGGAATCAAGTCCTGCATTAACCACACAGTACTTGTGGTGAACATGCAAACAAACAACCTCTGATACTATATGGGCATTGTCTTTGAAGCCGATTGGCCTACACCAGAGACGGCAGCCTTCTTCATGGCTGCTGAAACGTGTCGCGCCTTATCGCCCATTCGATGGGACAGACGACGACCTCTTTGTCGGTAGGGCGGCACCGATGAGGACGCTGTGCCGGTGTTGCTCCACCAGGTTTAACATTTTACTGCTTCTGGCCCAGAATTGGCCATGCGCCCTGTGAGCGGCCCGGCGGTAACACAAATAAATAACGGAGCGGGGGGGGGGGCAGCGTGTGAGCGACGGGGGAGGCGTTTTGAGTCGACGACGCGTTAAATCGTCCGCGTTGATTGAGCCCGGCGGCGATGAGGCAGCTGTAGGTCAGATGCCTCGTTACAAAGACAAAGACTCCCCCCCCACCCACCCCCGTGTAGCCTTAACAGACTGTTGGGGCAAGTGCCGTTAGCGAGCACCTATGAAGGCCGGAACGGTACACGAGGGGGTGGGTGGCCAGCACCACGCCTTTGTCTCCACAGTGGTGACGTTTGCACATCGCACCAGCTACTAGTGTGAGGCTGAGGCGAGCTAGGGGAAGCCCAGGACCTTTTCAAATAATCGTCACCGGTGTTGGCCACGAGCGGGTATCGAACTCGGGTCGCCGGGTTTGTAGCGCAGCGCGCTGCCCGTTACACTACCGCTCCCCACTGTCAAACGCCTCAAAGACTGCTCACACGTGCACATGTGCACACGCGCACACGCGTCTCCCCGCTCCCCACCTTCCTCACTTTCAGCCAAAAGCCGCTACGAGAAATATAATTTATAACAGTTTTATTTTAGCTACAACAACTTGTTTATTTCCCCCCCAGAGAGGGTAAAGTGCTGTGATCTCATGTGCGTGCATGCGTTTGTGCGTTCGTGCGTTTGTGGTGTTGGCCACTCTCACCCCTTCGTGTGCCGTGCCGGCCTTCGTAGGTGCTCGCTAACCGCACTTGCCCCAACAGTCTGTTAAGGCTATACCGGGAATCTATGCCTTTGTATACGTACATAAGGGGGGTTGGTGGCTTCGTGGTGAGCCCACTGCACTACTAACCCAGCGACCCAAGTTCGCTTCCCGCTCACGGCCAACACCGGTGACGATTATTTGAACCGGTTCTGGGCCTCCCCTAGGTCGACTCAGCCTCAATTGAGGCATCTGGTGTGGTGTGTAAACATCGCCACTGGGGAGACAAAGGCAGCAGTGCATGATGTTGTCCACCCACCTTGTATGCTGTGCCAGCCTTTATAGGTGCTCGCTCAGGCACTTGCCCCGAAAGTCTGTTAAGGCTATACAGGGAAAATTTGTCTTTGAGCATGATGAATACATACGTGCCCATTTGTGATACTCATGATGTCATGAATTAAAACACGAGGCTCAACCTTTAGACAAATAGAACATCAATGATCGTACACAGTGCTCGGTTGTCGGTCCCAGAAAGTTTTATTCTGAGGAATCCAAACCAGCTTCAGACAGGCGCTGTGCTCGTATTGCAGCGGAGTGTGCTCGCCTGTTCACCGCCACGTTCCCCATAGCATCACCGTGACAGAAATATCACTTTTGTTAAAGTTTTAACGCTGTAAATATCAATATATTTAATTCACTTCGACGTTCATTTACATTTTGTTGAAGCTTAACCAGTCTGCCTGCTTTTTCTGGGAAACGGTAGTAGATTATACATTATTTAACACCCAAAGCCAAAATCAATATGTGCGGATGAAATCCTTAACACACTCCAAAACAGGTGGCGTCACATGGCACTGTAAGTCTTCACTCGGTGAGGCATTCCTGGTGAACAACAAGTGGCCATTGTTAACTTGGCTTCCCAGTTGATGAGGCGCGTGATGGTTCGTGCCTTGTAATCCGTTATCCGTCAAGGTAAATGGATGGCGAATCACGCAGATTGTATTGGGCGCTGTGTAACTCCCTCTAACCCGCTTGAGCTGCAAGGTGGCCAAGCGACAACAGTATATATAGTGGGATACCAACTCATCTGTGCAAATCCTTTCGAGTCATTGTCTTGTGTACGTGGATTTTTTCCCCCTCAGCTACCTTACCTGGCTTCCTTCCCACAGAACAAAACGTTTTTCCCGCAAAGGATTTGGCGACAAGATCCCACTGCAGGGGGACACTTCTTAAATAAACAAAAGAGGTTTTCCTGGATGAATGGGCGTTTTTTTTACTGGAATCTTGCGAGTTCAGATTCCGAGTAAAACCCCATCTTGGCATCTCTGCAGGGTCAATAAAAATGCGTACCGTTTCGTGGGACGTCAACAGTTGCCTGCCCCGTGGAGAGACTTTCCCCCATCTTTTAAATAATGATGATAAATAACTACTCTTTGGTAACTATTACTGTGCCTGTTTAAAATCTGGTCATCAGAAAACTTAATTCTCATGAGGCCGCACCGTGATAAGCGCTGTCTCCAAACCATATCCACTCGATCTCTCTGGACTCTCTCTGTGCTATGAAGAAGGGCCGTTGCCAGAAACTTTGACAATTATATTTGTATTTTATTTACGAATGTCAGTTTATTTTTTGCTTCGTTGTGCTTTGGGCAAATAATTTGTTGAAAGATAACTTGGCACATTCGGCCTTCACGCCATTTTTCTTGCCCAAAACTTCACAGACCGCTATAGTCCGCCGGCAGTGGGCGATGTTGCTTTGTGGTTTTACCCAAAGAAGTGATTTTTGTCAGATAATTTTTACGAATTAAGTAAATTCTGGAGGGTGTCTGCGGCGCACGTGGCCTGCCCTTGTCTTGTGACGTCGCGGGATCTTTTAAACGTCCACTGTGAAGCAGACAGTGCGCATGTTACGATTCGTGCGGTCTAGAATATTCATCACCGGCTCGATGCTACCACCAACGGAGGCCAGCGCTGCCCACATCTCCTTTGAGCTGGGGTTCTCGCGACGATGCGATGGGGCGCGCGGCACCGCCACGCGATGGGAGTTGATCGACCGCGGTCGTTTTGTTTCCCGGCTCTGCGAGCAGCGCGAGGAGAAGCTGCGCAAGGAGGAGGAGCGCCTGCGGGCGGAAGAGCAGCGCAAGCGCGAGGAGGAGGAGCGGCAGGAGCGCGAGCGTCAGGAGGCGGGCGAGCGGGAGCGGCGCTTCCTGGAGAAGGCGCGCGAGATCGACGAGCTCAAGTGAGGGGCCAGACGCACGCACGGGAGGGGGGGGGGAGGAGGGAAAAAGCAGGATTTATCCTGGAGCTATGAAGCTCTTTTTTGCACAGATGTCCAGTTGGGGCACGGGGTCAGAAAGTTAGAACAACAAAGGATACAAAAACACAATAGGAATGCAAAGTATGTATGTTGGACTTCTTTCACACCGTACATAGACAACAGGAAAGGTAATAAAATCAGTAAAAATAAATATGTGAAATAGATTAAGTATAGAAGTTCAAATTGCACAAGTGCGCCAATTCCTAAGCTTCTGGCTAGACGGAAAAACAACAGCAAAAACAGTCCAAGACCACACCAAGGCAACACACAGTCCTTCAATTAAATTGCACATTAAAATTGAACTGTCGTTACACAGGAAAGGATGAAAGGAGGGGGGGGGAGAGGAGGGGGGAGGGGTTGGGTGAGAGGAAGGAAGGAGGGGGAGGGGGACAGGGGAGGGGTCAGGAGACGCAGGGAGTCCTTTGCAAAGTGCATCCCTTGTTCAGAGCTGTTCCGGATGGATAGGATATACACAATAGGTGATTGACACAATAGGATATACACAATAGGATATACACAATAGGTGATTGACACAATATGTGATTGACACAATAGGATATACACAATAGGTGATTGACACAATAGGTGATTGACACAATATGATATACACAATAGGTGATTGACACAATAGGATATACACAATAGGATATACACAATAGGTGATTGACACAATAGGTGATTGACACAATAGAATATACACAATAGGTGATTGACACAATAGGATATACACAACAGGATATACACAATAGGCGATTGACACAATATGATACACACAATAGGCGATTGACACAATAGGATATACACAATAGGATATACACAATAGGTGTTTGACACAATAGGGTATACACAATATGATATACACAATAGGTGATTGACACAATAGGATATACACAATAGGATATACACAATGGGTGACGTTTCAGGCAGTGGCCCTTATATAGTAGAGACTGAGGAGGAGAGTGGATGGACTATTTCCTGAAACGTCACCCATCATATTTATGATTCTTCTCAAGGACACCGTTATTGACGGATGTGGTCAGGTTTTGTTATTTGTGCTTGTGCATCGTTGCCAGTGCAAGTATCACAGTTCTGTCGCGCTGTGGGTTTGCCCTGGAAATAGACTATGCCTTCACCTATTTAATGAATGCAGAAATTTCGACCCATTGGCTTAGGGGTTGCCAGCAGAGAGAGATGAGCCGTGCAGAACGCTCCTCTCAGCAGGGAGGCACTTTGGCTTATCACTTCAATTGCAGTACAGCTTTTAAACAGCGGGCTGATTTTTTGTTTCCAGAATAAGTAATTTATATTTATTCATGATGCGTCTCATGTCAAGTCAAAGTGTCTCAGTGCTCATCTTGTGGAAATTCCACGTTCCTGTGGCGTGGCGGGGTTACCTCTCAAAGTTGCACCCGTTTACGTGACCTCACAGGAATTATTGAGCTGAGTTTGAACCCCTCAACCAGGTGAATAAAAAAAAAAGAAAATTCCCAAGTGTCAGTCGAAGCCCTCACCTGAGGGAGAGAGACTTGTACGCTCCAGCGTTTCTTATTCCTTTCAAATGGTACGGAGATTTTCCATCAACGGGTCACGTGTTTGTGTCAAGGTTGGCGAATCAGCGGAAGGCTTCAGGAGTTCTCGGTGCTGGCGCTAGGGGTGGGCTGGATCCTGTGCCCCCACACGTCCCTTTGCCCCCCCCCCCACACCCCAGCTCACTCTCCCCTTGGTGGTATATCAGTGTAACGGGGTGCCCCCCCCCTCCATGTAATAGTTCTACTGGGCACACCCCCCATCCCCCCCCCTTCCTGAGAGGAGCTGGGCCTGTGCTTCGGAGTACCGTAGTGATTTATATGATAACTCGCCTTTTGCCCGTCCAAGGACGGACGGGTGTATTGCAGTAAATCTGAAACTTGCGAGCGAAAAGCAGACCGCGACGTGATATTCATTGCATCCATTCGTGTGCAATTTGTAAGGGCGCGGTGACACAGACCTATTTCATTTTTAGGTTATTCCGTGTTCATCATGACGTCCTTTTTACTTTGATGTCTCAAGTAGCGTTACGGAGATCGCGTGACGTGAGGGTTCTGCCTTCGTAGTGAGGGTTGTAAGTTGACGCCGAGGAGGGGGGAGGAGGCGCCTCGCCCCCCCATGTGGAGTGACGTCACCCGCTAATTATTATTAATGGAGAGGGGGGTGTCCATTTGGAGGACGTCACCTTATAATGATTATTAATGAGGGGGGCTGTTCGATGTGGAGTGACGTGACCTGCTCATGATTATTAATGAGGGTGGTTGGTCGACGTGGAGTGACGTCACTTGCGCATGATTATTAGTGAGGGGGGTGGTTCTGCATATTGAGTGACGTTCTGACGCTCATGAATTATTAATGAGGAGACGGTGGTCGATGTGGAGTGACGTCACCTGCTCATGATTATTAATGAGGGGGGGCTGGTCGATGTGGAGTGACGTCACGAGCGTTAAGGACATTCCTGGGTGATTATAGTAGGTATTATACCAGCAGCTGCAGCTGGCAGTGGCGTACTTACACAGCTTCGGGTACGGTTTGAGGACTGGTGACTGCATTCCCACAGTGGGCAATTCTCAACCTCTCCATCCGTTCAGGAGATGGCCACACCTGCCGTGTGATGCTCCGATGCGGTTCAGAATATGTATTAATACTGAGAATGTTACAACAACAAACAATACACAAACACGCTAGGAGTGCAAAGTACAAGAAAGATTAAGAAATCACCGAAAAACATATAAATACAACTGAACCATCCCCATCCTACCAGACAAAGCCCACTGGGGTATTAACTTCTTTTTCAGAAGCAACCTGGCCACAAATAATGGCTCAACAAAGTGGCCCATCATTTGGACATTTATAGCACCAAAATAATCTAAATAATCTCAATGAATGGTGCAGTGCCGGCCATTTGCTTACATGGTAAGCTTGAAACCGGATCGGTGGTCGGGCGTTCATTGTGGACATTGACATGGTCCCAGGTTGCTTTCCCCCTGTGTGCCTCTTTGGTTAGATTTGCACTCGATCCCAAAGTTGGGTCGCGGGACTTTCATCGAGGCTTTTTTTTCCCGGAGGTTCTGAAAGTCCTCGACGAATCCGGCGCTGGGATTGCCCTTCATTGGCGAGCATTATCCACAAACCCCCGACTTGCCAGTCAGCTGTCGTGCGGAAGCCTTTTTCCAGCCTTCACAATGCGATTGTGATTATATTAGTTATGCTAATGATGATAATAAAAGTAGAAATATGGACAGATCAATCACAAGACCTAGAGCCACATGTAATTTTATGTGGTTTTGAGTCCTAGGAATCCAGCAGCACTCAGCTTTTGTTTTTTAGAGCCACGCTTACAAATTAATGACATTGCATTTAGTGTAATTTGGCGATACTTTTTTTATGGTGGTTGAACAAGTGCGAGCAGCAATTATACATACCTCTTACCGTATAATTCCAAGGTAATTACAGTCGTGCAAGCTTATCGATGGAAGTTGTCTTCCCGCGACTAAACGCAAATTCTCCTTACACTTCCCCATGTTTTCGTTGCAGTTCATTGGCTTCCGCTTGTAAACAGTGGATCCGTAAGGGTTGCCGTCAAAATATTCACCAATCCTTGGTATTATTATGGGTTTCCAAGCTGATGGGAATGTGTGGGGACTTTTAATTCTAGATGGTCGGCTTGGATACCTCACCACGATAGTTCTCGACATTGCTTTAAGGTAATTTCTGACGATTTTAAAATGCAGGTCTGGGTCATCGTGTTACTTATTTGCTTTTTCAGTGTCTCCACATTTCCACTGTTTAACGCAAAGTGCTGCAGCCCATGGTGTGGGTTGTGGAGATTGTCTAACCAAACTTCATATTACCGATCAGTGCGGGATTTTCAAGGCGGAGAGCAAACTAGAGGGTCCATGCATACTACAGCAATATATTTGCCTCGACTACGCTGCACTGCTTGCATTGTAGGTTGACGGGCCTGTTAGTTTCCTTCTCCAATTGTTTTAATTGAAAACTATTCCTGTAACGCTCACGATTCTAAATTGCAGCTTTCTGGTTGCGAGTCAAGTATTTTGCCACAGCGCCACCTGATTGGAGAAGTCTTTGCAACAGTTTTAGGCCTTTAAAAAAAACACAGTTTAACGCAAAAAGATTAACAGCCATGTAATTACAATTATTTGGGTCCTAAAGGCGACAAACAAGTAATTCTCATTTTAATTCGTTTTCCATCAGGGCTGTTAAATGATTAGAATATAATTCTTAATGACCTTCATGCCATAAAAACAACCCTCGGGGAAGGTAACCAATTAAGAGTAATACTATTTACCGAGTGATTGTACGTATACAGTCGTTGATTGAACTGAACTTGATTTGTAATTTAGTGTTCTTAAAAAGTTTGGCACGCCGCCGGACAAGATGTCTATTATTCCAGCGATGCAGGTCGATAAACCAAGACGAGAGTGAGAGCCTTGGGTTTGGGATCTGATCGTCTTTGTGAACGATGCTGCCTTTCAAAGGTGACGTGGTGCCTCCACTCTCCGAAGAGAGCACTGGTCCTTCCGTGGCGCGGACTCGGACACTGTAAACACAGTTCAGTCGCGAACTCCTGTTATGTGTGGTGAATATGGGGGTGAGCTTCACGTACCCGGTGGGACCTTTTTGCCAGTATCTAAAAAATGATGAAAAATAAGAATGGGTTTTACCCTTTCTGGCAATAAAGCAGGTGTTAGGATGTTCAAACACCAAATAGATGCCTTTTGCAAGGCATGGGTGTCTGGATATGGGGTGCATGCATGTTTTGCCAGAGGTATGTGTGGTTAATGCAGACCTGATGTCTTTTGAACAGCTTCACTCCTGTTTTATTTCCACAAAGGGTAAAACCTATGCTTGTTTTTCACGTACCCCGTCGGTAATCTAAACAATGCCCAGCGGGAAGCGTTCCCGAACGGCACGCCACCAACTCCCAAACGTGGCTGCCCCCCCACCCCACACTGTCATGGCTAGTGCACCGTCGTCATCATTGACAGCGTGGAACTCATTTTTGTTAACTTCAGGGACAACGATGAGTTGGGATACACCCCGACCAGGAGTTTTAACTCGCGGATTAAAGCGACCGGGAGTCAAACGCCAGTCGCTGCAGCAGCACCGACCAGCCCAGAACATTCTTGAGATGGGTCATGAAACCCTTCGCTGCAACTGCCATCTCCTGGCTACTTTGCAGTACAGCAAGTTCCAACGTTTACGGCGCATTTAAATCCCTGTTTTCCACCAAAATCTTGCCTTCGAAAGTGTATTGTATGTACGTTCAGAAGCAGAATATTTATTTATACTGGAAGAATCCGATGAGCAATAAAGCTCTTTTTCACAGATTTCCTGTAGGGGCGAGTCAGAACCTTACAACAACACACAGTGCACAAACACGATAGGAGTGCAAAGTATCACAAAGGTAAACAAATCACTTGAAAACATTTACTAATAAAAGTAAACCAATTTTTTTTTTATATAACCAGGTAAAGCCCACTGAGGTATTAACTTATTTTTCAGAAGCGACCTGACCAGAAATGATTGCTCGACAAAATGGCTTTTGTGGACATTTATATCCGCAAAATAATCTAAATAACGTTGAACTCATTTCGTACGTAGCCAACCATGCTAATCAGAAGTGCTGAAATACAGGCATGCACTACCACATCCAGTCTACGAACGGATGATGATACATTTAATTGAAATATTTTAAATATATATTTATTCAATGCAATAATAGTGTGCAATGATCATCGAAACTTTTCAATACCACCTTACGAAACGAGTTTTGAAGTGGGTTTGGAATTCATAACCAGGTATCGATGTGGATGGTCGCGTTCCGTATAACCATATTCCTTGGAACACCTTTGAAATAAAGTAGCTAAACGACTGCTGAAACGGTAATCTAAATAGCATTTGAAAGGTATTAAAACACTCAACTTAAAAATACAAATTTTAACACTTTAATACATCTTTCGAACTTACACAAAAGCACTTACTGCACGTGTTCACTTTATGTTTAATTAAAGTCAAATACCAAACAACTAAGTTGTGGTATTTTAAAGATGTGTAATATTATATTATCAATAGTCTCACTGTACCTTTTACCCAGAGGGCCCTGCTGAAAAAGTTCTGTTGGTGTGGTACTTTGTTTTTTTTTACTATTTTAGATTGTGCCAAGAAACCAGAGATTCCATGCATATTCATACAGAGCAGCAGCCCGCTTTCTGTGCTGCCTCCAATGGTACTTCACAGTTGGCTATCCAATAGAATCCACCAACTCTCTACCTCCTTCGTGACGAATCGCAGACCTATGCCACCAAACGGGGCCCATGGTTTATGATTGTACTCGGTGGCAGTGGCCAGGCATTGAACTCCGGTTCCTCTGGTTCATAGTGCAGTGCGCTCACCATTGCACCACCGCTCCACCTTGCTGATTAATACCATGCTGTAGAAGTAAAACGATATGTGCATGCGTGGTATGTACTTTGTACTTAGGACTCTTTAATGGGTGGCCACGTTTCAAGTTTGTTTTGTTTAACCAGGTGAAAACTCAAGAGAACCGGCGTAGTCTCATTTGCAAAAAAATCTGTCATCTAAATTACAAAAGCGAAACAAATAAAATAGAAAGTACAGCAATGAATACTCTCCGTTTTTTTTGGTAAAGTCACTTAGGTAAAACATTTTTATAAATTAAATCACGACGACACACAAGCTTCCGTCTTCAGGTGGAACCGCAGTCACGAAAACTTCAAATCTACAACATTTAAGTAAATCGAAATCGGAACAAAAACGAAAACACTATCACGTGTGGAATAGAACATATTGCAAACGTAAATCAATATTAGACAATGCATTGGCTGGAAACTCTTTTTAGAGTGTCATTCTCCTGGCTTCATACATTGTTGTGTTACTTTTTGCATTGACAACAAACGACAGTAATACGAATGCAGTGAAGACCCTCTCTTTATCCTGTGCTGCCATCTGCTGGATGAGAGTCACAACTTCCTGTTGCACAGAGTCACGTTTTAAAACAGGAATTATTTTGTCAACATGACATGTCTGTGAATAACTTAAAAAAACCGATCCACGCTACAGCCAGTTGTAACGAAGCAATAACCGCAATCTTTTTTAAGTGCTCGTGACATTAATAGTGCTTAGGTTATTTCAGCAGCAATCCTTGTTGTTCACCCTTTCCCGTTCCAAGACGTTTGCAGTGTGCATGGTGGGTCCTGTGCACCGCCCATCGCAGAGAACCGTAGACACACGAACCACACTCTACGATAGCTGGCACCAAACTATGCCACACGCCCTCCCGCATGGCTTTGTGGGAGCCTCGGTACATCTTCCGACCTGACGACTTACCGATAAAGATTTGTATTTTTTCTTCCAATGATGTACACATACACGCACGTCATTAGAATGGAATGGGAAGGAAAACTGATGACGTACAAGTACATACACGTACAGCATCGGAATGGGAAATGGTTAAGGTCCCACACAGCCACTGTGAATTTGGTGCAGACTTAATTTGGAGCTTTCGTGATTGCAGGAATTATTCTTTGGTTCTTTCGATAAAGTCACATATAAAGATAAAATAATAAATTAAATTAAATACTAGCATACGACGTTTCGATTGCAACACAAGCAATCATCATCAGGTATAAATGAAATAGAAACACAAATCTAGTATACTTAGAAATGTAATGTAATACAACAGAGAGTCGGATAACATAACAGTCAACACCCTATCTGGTTGATTACGTTCTTCCTGAGAATGCTAAAATTTGAGAGAGAGATAAAACACAGAACCAGAAACATAGACAGACATATAAGCAGACAGATATCACAGAGATACATAGAGAGAGCACAAACATAGGAACACAGAGAAACTACGCCTCTGTGTCGAGGCCTTAAATAGAGAGAGGGGGGGCGTCGGCGGAGAGAGTGGGAGGGGTTAGAGAAATTAGCATGTCCATGAGTGGCAACGGTGAGTGGCAAGGTGTAAAAGCTTGAGAGAGGGGGACGGGGGCGGAGAGAGAGGGAGGGGTTAGAGAAATTAGCATGTCAATGAGTAGCACGATGAGTGGTACGGTGCGCGAAAGCTTGAAAAAATTAGGAGGCAGGGAGAGAGACACACTAAATTAAATATTAAATTTAATTTATTATTTTATCTATATACGTGACTTTACCGAAAGAACCAAAGAATAATTTGGTGCAGGTTTAACTCCTTTAGTGAACGGTCTTAGTCTCTCAGCGGCGTTCATTTTACTTACGATCATCATTTGCTTTCGGCTTCATTTATATCTTTGCTGACAACTACAACTTTAATCTTGGTGGTTTATTTCCACGTTGATATATTGGCCACATTTGTACATTTTCTTTGTGAATGTCCTTGCAAAATTATATATATGTCATAGCCGGGAATGTGCACCGATGGGAAACCGTTTTTTCACTGCAGCCACACTGCTCTGTTGCTTTTCATGATAAAAAAATCCGCTTTCCAAAGCACCCCACGGTTCACCACCCGGCAACAGTTCAGTTCAGTGAGGTATGATGGTATAACCGCCATGGCCATGCGGCATGGAGAGACCTTAATACAGCAGTGGATTGCCAAAGGCCTGTAAACTACTTGTATTTATTTTAAACCACGGCTTCAATATTTATCACGAACTGCATCCAGTTTTACACTATTCCCTTTCATGCCTTGAGGAAAACAGTTGTCATATGGTTTAGTTATTTTTTTGCTTACATAAAACCTTTTTCTAGATACTTTAAACACAATCTCCTTTAAAAGTTAGACCTTGGGGAGACGCAGGTCCGGTCGGTACGGGCTAAACGAGTGCCACTGTCCACGGCATGAGTGAAATGACGTGGCGTGCACTTCAAGGTCCACGTTGGTAAATAACGGCTGCCTCTTGCGGCATTTGACGTAAACGTGCATTCGCAAAACGTGGGGCTCATGCACGTGTCCACGTGTGTACACGGTGTGCAACAAAAGCACGGTGCGTAAGAGGGGGACTGCCACACTTGCGGTGTATGCGGAGTAATATGGTTGCGCTTGTGGTCGGCAGGAAATATCAAGAAAAGGCCGATTCAGAGGACAGAAGTAAAGAAAAACAGAAATGGGTGAGTCTTGTAGCGCACGCATTACTCTTGTGAACTGACGGGGCAATGAATCCAGCCCTCTGTGCACATGTGATAGGTTGTCGGTCAACTTGCTCTGCTGCCTTTCTTACAAGCAACCCCGTGAATTAGCGATGCCCTGCAAATGAGTGTGCAACGATTTGAGCGATACCAACTTTGGATGCTCTTGAAGCAAGATTCAATACGAGGGAGTTCCGTACGACGACATTTGCCCCACAGTCCCAGCGTAAGGGTGTCTCCGTGCCCGACTGCGCACGCTGAACTTGCAGTCGTTAACATTCCCCTGGAGTGCGCCGCTCTGTTTCATGCGCGCGCGCTCGCTTGCGGTGATATCGTAATGTGCGTTTGGACGAGTAATTTTAACCGCGGGGGAACCGGGCGTGATTGAACATCAAATGTGAAATTGCCCTGCGCGGGACTTGATGGTTGTTTCGCGGCACTTTTGTTGTTTTTTTTGCCTCCGTATAAAAAAAAGTCAAGGCCGACCCGCGGAGTCAATAAAAGCCAGTGGGGGTTTTGTTTTCATCGCCTCACCGAACAAGGAGAAAAAATACATTTGCTTGGAATTTCCAACCCTCACCGTTAAAAGAGTCTCCACGTGAACAAGTGTTGTCAATTCCATTCGGTGCCCTTTGCATTTGGTTTAGTGTTCAAAGTTCCATTTCTTCCCATCGGTTAACAAATGCGAAAACCCATCAAATAGATTGCATCTCCTTTAAACGAGAAACCTGGTCAAAATGTACTTTTCCCGGTGAATATTTGCAGCTATAAATGCCACGTTCCCGGTTCCAGGCTGTGAGAGTAGCTTTTACAGTGACCTAATTCCCGGACTGATTCAGTGTTGTAGCATTCAATTAGCTGCCACAAAACTGCAATCGCCGTGTAGAATTGGAAAATCTAATTTTTTGACAAGCGGAGTTTGAGATGATTACTTTCTTTGTCTGGTTTAGCCATGCGCGTGTCCCATATCCTGGGGTTTAGACTCATTGACCAGGTTGTGGTTAGTGTCAATCTCCTGTATTTGTTTGTGTCTCTGCGAAGCAGGAGCTTAGAGGTTTGGCGCTCAGCGCTACTAACCACGTCACCCGAGTTTGATTCCCCGCTCACGACCAACAACAGTGATGATTAAACCAGTCCTCAGGTTCGTCTAGGTCGACTCGGCCTCAAACGAGTACCTCGTGCGGTGTGTAAACATCGCCAATAGGGAGACAAAGGCGGCCGGGCGTGGTGCTGGCCACCCACCTCCTCTCGTGTGCCGTGCCGGCCTTCATAGGTGCTGCTCGCTATAACAGAGCTTGCCCCAACAGTTTGTTTAGGCTTCACGGGGGATCTTTGTCTTTGTTGTGTCTCCCTGGCAGGAGCAAGAGGAGAACGATTATCAGCAGCGAATGCGCCGTGGCTACAAGAAGAGCGAATCGGTGGAGAAAGCAGCCGTGAGTGGTGGTTGTGCCCATTTGTATTTTCATATTGAGCCAAGAAGGACGTTTACCCAGCTGACTTTAGACTTGAAAGACCGAAGATTGCGTGCAGTAGCAGGGCGCATACAGCAGAGGGTGCCCAGCCGCCCCGGGGTAAAGTGCCTCGTGCACACTGGCAGGGTTTTACAGCGATACAACTCCGCTGCTCCTGCTGGCTTGACCAGCTGGATGTGACATTGTTAGTTGTTGCTCTGCATCTACATCTTTAGCCATACGAAAGAAAATACTTACGCCAATCGCTACCCCAACCCCTATCACTACCCCAGAAAGGACCGTAACAATGTATAACGACGCAATGCCCAGATCCACAAATACGAAGAAGACATCGCTGCGATGCACTCACTCCAGCTGCCCCTGACACGGTTATATGCTGGCTTGACACACCTGCACGTGAAATTGTTAGTCGGTGCCCTGCACCTATGTCAGCCGTACGAAAGAAGAAAACTGGCAGTAAGAAGCACACAAGGTTGTGCTGATGATTCCTAACAAAGAGCAAAACCCGGTGCGACATATCAGTGATTGTTACTACATTGCTGCCACGTAGGGTTACGGCCTTTCCATCCCGGTTGTGTGAAGCCATTGGACTGTACTTACAATGCCGCTTTGCGACACTAATCCCACGGGTCTCATGCTCCGTATGATACCGTCGGCATATAATACAATTGAGAAGTTAAAATTCAGAACGTGAAGTGAAGGATATCGGTCACACGTGGTACTTACCTGGCCAGGTAGCACCATGGTATAGAGCACTCCGGGTGAAGTCGGGGGACAGTTGTGAGTTCATATCTCGATCAGGGGCCAGCTCAGTCCACCGCCGTCTCTCTGGGGTCACCAAAAATGGAGTGATTCCTCCGGCCTAAATAAAGATTGTGATCACTTTAATGGGGAGTCAATCGTGGGCATTGTAATGAAGAGACATGGCCGGCAGTAGGAATGTGGAATTTGCACCCACAGGGTCAGGACAGTCAATTCCACATGATTGTCTCACTGGGCTTCTGTGAGCACAGAGGCCCTCTGGATTCTATTTGAACAGAATTTAAGTGCGGTGTGCTGATGGTTCGCGCACTGTGCGTGCAATCCAGAGGTCGCTGCACGGACCTCCCCGAGTGGCGGTTCAATCGATGCCCAAGTTTCTTAAATTCCCCCCCCCCCCACCTCTGTTCACCCAGCAGTGCACATGGGCACGCAATACTCGATCAGCGGGTCAAGTGGGTTCTCCCGATTCTTTCCAGGCTGTCTGGCCAGCGTAGGCCAAATACCCTCTAGAAAGACTCTACAGCTACCTCCAGCCGTGGCTAGAGCAAGCTTGACAGAGTGAATGTTGTAGGATGTGTGATACAACAAAGGTGTCTTTCACGCAGCTGAAATTTGTCCGCAGAAATGCAGACAGGTGATGAAGTGTTTAATTGCACCCGCGTGGGCGGCGTTTTCACTGGGAGAATGTGAGAGACACTGGCCTCCAGGAGGGCAAGCTTGCGTGGCTAACGCTCGTTTTACTTCCATTTTATTCGTTTTCTTGCACCGCTCTCCGTTAGGAAGCAGCCACGGTCATCCAGCAGAGGTCGCTGAACCCGCGCGAGATCTTCAAGCAAAAGGAGCGCGCGATGTCGTACGACCACACCACGCCGACCCCCTACTCCCCCGGTCAGTGCCGGGGCCCCTTCAACCACGCGGGGGAAATCAGAGCTACTCCAGAGAGCATCCACGAATGTTTTAGCGCCTCTTTACCGAGCGCAAAGGAACGGCGGGCGAAGCGGCTCATACGCAGCACGGCTGGTGCCCCGAATGCCTTGGGTCTGTACGTTTTAGGGTGTATGTATGTCGCACTGTGGGGGGTGTATGCAGTGGAAGGAGGAAGGTGTGATGGGTTTGGCCTGTGTTCGTATGTGTGTTGAACTTCTTTCACACCGTACGTAGCCAAACGTGCTAATCGGATGTGCGAGGGAAGAACAACAAACGCAGCACAAAAAACATTTCTAAAGAATTGAATTTTCAAATCTAGATGATGTAAAAGTGCAAAGCTCCAGTGGCTTCCTAATATCAGAAAGAAAAACGTTCCAGACAGCCGCAGAAGCGCATCTGAAGGCGTGCGATGCGGTGAGCGTCTTCGTTCGATGGCCAGCAGCCAAAAGCTGCCGCCGCTGCTGCGAGGATGACCGGAGATTTGCGTTCACGTTTCGGAAAATGTGAGACTTCGTTATCGTAAAAATTAATATTTTCTCTTCATATTAAACAGGGAAATTGGTCTTCCTTATTCTGATAGCATTTATTCCAGTAGAGTGCTTGCTCTATGGTGGTTGAAGTGTATTGCTCTGTTGTTGCGATGTGCCTTGGGTAAGTGTAATCTATATACTGCCTGAAAATGCTGTTCAATCGTTTGCATGATTGTGTGTATCTTTATGGAGGGCTGGAGTGGCATTAGTGGATTTTTGTGCGCCGGAGCGAGGCATTTGTGTCTGTGTGTGTGGAATTGTTGAGCAGGAGTTCACACTGTGCTACACAACCAGATGGCCTAAGTGTAATGCCCAGTCATACATAGCACCAGTAGCAAATTAAACAGACAGGATTGTAACCCTGTCTGACCTTCTCTAGGTTGACTCGGCTTTCAATTGATATCTGGTATAGGTGTTCGCTACAGCATGGTTGGCTACATACGGTGCGAAAGAAGTTCAACATACATACATACAAAAGTCTAGAAGGCTAAACAGGGGGATCTTTACAAAACCAATTCCAAACATGCATGTGAATGGCGAGAAACTCCTCAGACAGATAGGGAGGTGCAAACTGAAAATAAAATGAGAGCAATAATTAAATGATAAAGTTAATTTTACAGACGGCGAAAGACATGATTGTGACAATTGCAACTGACTCTCTAATCGTGCCGTGCATGTCTCGTGGCATCATCAAACTCAGCGTGCAATGCACACAGCTTTGTTATAGACCATCACATTCAAAAGAGTCAATGCCGGGCATGTTTGTTGTGTTTGTGTGCGTGTAGGGGTTAGCGCACTATGCTACGAACCTAGCTACCTGAATTCTATTCCCTCTCAAAGCCAACTATCGGTAACGGATATCTGTACCGGTCCTGTGCCTCTCTTATGTCGACTCGGCCTTAAATAAGTACCTGGTGCGGTGTGTAAACGTCAGCACTGGAGATAGACAAAGGTCGCCGGGCGTGTTTATTACCACACAGCCCCCGCGTTTGCTTTGCAGGCCTTCACAAGTACTTGCTATGTACGTATGTATGTTGAACTTCTTTCGCACCGTACGTAGCCAACCGTGCTAATCGGAGGTGCAAGCAGCACTTGCCCCGCCCAGCACTTGCCCCAACACTCTGTGTGGCTGTACGGGTGATCTTTGTCTTTGTGTGTGCGTGCTGTGCGCAGGGAAACTGAAGAGCCCGTTCCTGCGGAAGGAGGGCAGCCTCCCAGCCTGGGAGTGCAGCGCGCCACGCGGCACGGGCAAAGTCTCTCCTACAGGTACTCACTCGCTTGCCCACAGCTGCCCTCTACAGAAAAGACACACGCAGCGCTCTTGCAACTGGTGGCCGGCGAGTGCAGTACGTTGCGGCGGCGATGAAGAGATGTTATCTCCCTCGCCTGGTATGCAGGAGGTCGTGGGTTCAATCCCAAATCCAACACCTGTATATTGGGAGTTTGCATGTCTCTCTCCACGCGGTCGCATGGATTTTTCTCCGGGACGTCCGTTTTTTCCGTCCACATTTAGAAATCAACATCGCGCATTTAAATAATTCGGCTGCTATAAAATTTTCACTTGATAAGCTGCTTCGTTGAGTGATCGATTGTGGCCGGGTCCCTTCTGAAAAAGAGATAATAGCTCAGCGGACTTCAGTTTAGATTGTGTTCAGTGTTGAGCCTCTCACTAGAATAGTAAACACTGTCGGGAAGTCGGGCAGTGGTGGCGGCCGTGCTACACGTGGCTGCCTGTGATCCAGCACTGTGGTAGCAGCGAGGGTTGGTGGCTCACTGCACCATCTTGCGAAGCTCCCTTCCCCGTGGGCGTCGAGGTGCCATGCCTTGGCTGAACCAGGAGAAGGCGGTTACAGCAAAGTGTGGCCTCATGTCCATCTGCTCCATCTGTATGTCTCCCCTCACGCGCGTGAGTTTTCTCCGGGTGCTCTGGCTTTCTCCCACAAGTATAAACACTCATTCATCATGGGCTGACAACATCTGAATGTATGCACACCTTGGCGTGTTGCGAATTGCGCAGCGTTCGTTCCAGCACTGCATTGGCAAAGGGTTTGCAGTCGTTAATATGTATTATAGAAAATTAAGTACGATAGCGTGCCCCATTCCCTCAGTTTGAGTCGTAGAGGCATCCATTCTTGTAACTCCCTACGAAGAGCAGGGGTGCAACTTCGCAATTGTGGACAGTCTTGAGTGAAACACCACGGGACTACTTTTTAGTGGATGTCTGCACGATAAACCTATCTTATCGCAGCCGTACGTTAGCGCTTCCTTCGGTCGAGGAGTGCTTTGTTTGTAAAGTCTGCCTTTCTATTTCTGTGCAAAATGTCAGGGGGATGTTCATCCTCTCCTTCCTCCTACTCTCATCCGTCGGTCACCATTTTTGTAACCCCCGGCACGCGCGCCTCATCCCACGATGCATTTTGAAAAGTGCAACGTTTTAATTTCGAGAGGTAGCTTTTGTGTGTGCGCGTAGCGTGCGATTGCGTCACGGCGGAACCGTGGCAGTTGGTGCAATGAAAAAAACACGCCCAGTTCTGACATTCGCTGGACAGGGGGTGCGGCAGTCCCTGGGAGTGAAGGGAGCGCATTTACTGGCGTGTCACTAGAGTTTCTTTTGCGACGTAAATATTTCGATTGCGAGAAACGGTCTCTGGTCTGCGGGAATCGAAAAACTGCACTCGCTTACTGGTTTCTTTGTGCATTGGTTGCAAATAATTTTAAAATTCGTGGCTCTTGGCCATGATGGAAGCCTACAGAAAGCGACTCTAGTTGTCTCCGACAAAGTTGCTATGGAATATGTGGGCATCTGCTGCGAAGAGAGCAGACGGCACGCTTTAATCATTCCCTGCATACACGGTCAGGCAGTTGAGGGAACACAACCATCGATCTCGTGAAAAATGTGTCCATATTTTTCCAAATATGTCCAAATTTGAAAAAGAGATATGTTAAATAAAATGTGTTTCGTTGATTAAAACCACGTTGCAACATTAGCCACTACTGGCAAACTATACTCCTCTGTGAAACATAAGGCCTATAAGAATGATGCAGATACCGAACGTACTGCTGATTTTGATTTGACGGTGAGAATCCCGCAACACGACCACCGTGAAATCCACGCAGCCGCTCGCCGCGCGGTAAAGCGTACGGCAGTGACGATCACTACACGGCATGGCGGGGGGGGGGGGGAATGGAAATGGCATGCGGTGTTTTCGCGGGTTGCCAGCCAATCTTTGCCACCACACCCGCCCATGGGCACAGCCCTCGCGTTTGAATAGCCCTCGAGGTTAGCCGATCCGCCGATCGCGGAGTCAAAGGGAACCCATTTAGTGAAGGCTGCGCGTAATCTGGGCAGCGCCCGCCCCGCCACCACACCCTCGGGGAGGCAGCGGTGTAACCGAGGAGGGTGCCCTCTCCACGCGAGGGCGTGCACCTCCGACGCAGGGCGGCGCGGCGCCAACGCACAGACGGCGCGGTGTTCTGGCAGAGGCGGGCGTCTGCTGTGGAGAAAGATTGTTTTGGCAGACGTGGGTCAAAAACTCTCTGTTTGTGAGACGTCGACCGCCCCCCAAATGCGTCGTCTGTCCGTGTGGCGTGCGTGGCAGTGACCGCTTTGGCTCTCGCGTCTTGGCGCTCATTGATTTGGCTCGCGCTACGTAGGTGGAACAGCTGTGCTCGTCCGCAAATGTTCGCTCCCTTGATTGTGGATTGCTTGAGGTGTAGTACACTAGAGGACCGTGTCCTTTTGTTGTTTCTCAGCAAATCTGTGGAGCGCTATTCCCTTATTTTAAATCAAGCCTAAAAACCTTTTTTTTTATTCATTGCCTTGTCTCTGATTGAATGGGTTTTATGGAGATTGTGACATTTTGACCAGTTTTTATCGTAGCTTGTTTTTTTTTATTTTTGGTTTTGTTGTATTGTGATTGAGTTTTTACTGGTGCATCAGTGTTTTATTTTTTTTATAACCGTTTGTTCTTTTACCTCTGATGTACAGCACTTTAAGAATACCAATTTAAAAGGCGCTTTATAAAACTGGATTCATTATTATCGAGGTCGCCAATTTCACATAATGGCAATGGATGATTTTGTCCCCTTTATCCCATTGTGCTCAGGAGCATGAGGCTGCACTGAGAGTGTGACATTTCTACCATTGGCCCAGAATGGTCAGTATAGATGAGCACTGCTCGATTATGATCTGGCTTGTGATTAGTGACATGTTCTGTAATTCACGCTAAGTTATTGGTGAGGGGTTTAGGTTGCACACTTTTATGGGACATGCAACACTCCAAGTATACAGCAGCAGGCGTCAAGGTTGGGATCAAAACCACGACCTCCTTGCATACCAGGCGAGGGAGTTCACATCATACAACGCTGTACCAATCGGTGATTCATTAGCTAGCAGTGAATTTGACCTATGACGACTTGCAGATGTTTCCCGGGCAGACATACAGAATTCTGCATCGGTCGAACGGTCTGGACATTTTTTTTCTGGGCATTTCCCAGCTCTCTCCAACACAAACATACGTGTCGTATCTGGCAATTAAGTGAGAGGCTTTTGTTTAGTCTTGCGCCAACTCACTAGGTCCAAATGAATCATTGTTGTCTACCAAGACGTTGCTAGATTTGCTGGCGCAAATGAACACAGACACATGTCCTCTATTGACCCACATTGTGACGTTTCACGTTTGTAACCTTGGGATTCGTGTAATCTGGTGCGCTTTTATTCAACGAATTGCTTTCACAAAAACAAATGTTGAACTATGCGTGCCGTAAACCATAATTGCCCCCACGTATGGTTAAAATAAGAGATTGTTTATTCACTGGCCTTGCCATGTTTCCGGGACACGTCATTGCACTTGCAAATCAGCAGCATAAACATTTGCACAAACAGGGCGCATGACAGTCGGCCAACGGGTTCCCACGTTCTAAGATTCACTGGCAGATACATTTTGCCTGCAGACTATTCAACTTACACTTACAATCCATGGCATCTCTTAAATGTCTATATTCATCATCATCATCATCAGGCCATGATCAATCCACTGCTGGATGAAGGCCTCCCCAAGCCGCCAGCACCGCGGCCGCCACACTCGTGATCCTGCGATGCAACGTTCCAGCTAGAAACCGGGACACGGGCCAATCTCATCGCTCCGTCTCCCCGGTAGACGTCCCCTCGTACGCGTTCTATTGCTGAGCTTCAGTGTCAGGCAACGGGATGTGAACGTGGCCTGGATATGTTGTTGGTCGCTGTGCTCATCGCCGACGGCTACTCGCGAGGGATTTGGAAGTTTGGTTCCGGCGTTCGCACAGTTGACACCCCTGCAGGGAGTCGCCAAAGCACGTTTTTGGTGTTGACAAATCTGCAGGGATTTATGTACCTCAGTTAACAGTGACATCGGTTAACGGTTTTTCGGTGAACGTTTCGCCTCCAGTAGGACCCCATGGTTTCGACTAACGTTCAAATTTAGATTAGGTTATATGCATGTGGGGCTGAGCCATGCCCTCAGCCAATCGGTGACGCCCATCTATGAGCGTTTAGACTTCGACTAGCTTTGTTTACATTATGTTTTCTATATTGGCAGTGGAAACAGCTCTCTTGCAGACTCAGTAATATTTTTCTTATAACATGTAATTCCTTTATTCGATTAACAATTATTTCGGTTAACAGTATTTTTCGTGGAACGGATTAATAACGTTAACCGAGGGACTACCCTACTCGTGCAATTTGTACTTCCTTGCTTTTATTTATCTATTTTTAAGCGACTCTCTTAACTTTCTCAAGACTTGCACACTTCCTGTTTTCAAAATTATTCATGTGCTAGCCTCTGCCTATCTTTCTCTTCTGATTTCAGTTTACTCCTCTCCCTGGGTTCCTCCGTTCATCTTTTATAGGTTCTGCTCTCCGTCCCAAAAAATACAACTTCAAACCATCAGTGGAGGAGCTTTCTGGAATACATTCACCACTCCACATCCGATAAATCAACTCCATAATGTTATTATTCACATCTGAACCAAAGGTCTTTTTATTCATCCAGGCATACGCTGAAAAATACGGTAACCACTTTTTGGACATTTGACCGATTGGTCTAAATGAGTCGTAACTTTTTGGCCTCTCCACCACTGCCCCAATTGTGACGGTTTCCTGCCTTGGTTGGAATGTTGGGATTGTGGTCTGCTACGTGGTGTAGTCGTAGACCACCTCATGGACTCATTTCTTTGTTGTGATAACTTTTTGTTGTTGTTTGGGCTTTTTGTTTTAATGACATTCCTTAATTGTGTTTATTTTCCTTGCTCGTAGGCTTTTCATTTGCTTTGGTAGTGACTGTATAATGGATTTGGTCCTTATATTTAACTAGCTTTACTACCCGGCTTCGCCAGAGACTTGGATTGTCTTGGATTAATGCACGGCCTACACGGAGGGTGGGGGGATGCGTGACGTCAGCAGGCACACTGCGTGACGCTGCCGCATGCGGGTGACATCACAGATGTGACGTCACCGCTCACTTGCCGTGCAAAATATACCCATTATTGCGCCCCCCCCCCCCCCCCCCAAAATACAAATGTGTATTTTTATACTTTTTGCATTGTGTACAGTCTGGAAGCTACCCACTTGGCAAATTTCAAGTTTGTTGCATGTCGGGAAGTACGCTAAACATTTCGAACAGACACACATATTCACAAATTTCCTTTTTATATATATAGATTAACCTACAGCGTTATGGGATCCTTTTTGCATGAATGACTCTATAAAATTTAAGTTATTATTGTTGTTTACCTGACTCTTGTATCCTTAATTTATTTTTGTTGTTGTAACTTGCTGAGCCGCCCCTTCTGGAAATCTGTGAAAAGATCATTGTAGCTCATCGGATTTCTCCTCCAAGATGAATAAATATTCTGTTTCTGGATGTCATCAGTCTTGTAATGCACCACAATTTAAATAGGACTTTGTGGGACAGTGTCTCGTATACTGACTCCCTAAGCCAGTTGTGGGAATTCCACGTTCTGTAGCAAGGGTCACTCGTCTCATTAGATGACTCTCATCGAGTTGTGGTTACTTGCCTATGAACACCTCCGATTAGCCTGATTGGCTACGTACTGTGTGAAAGAAATTCACCATACGTACATACAAGCATCTGGCAGTTGGCCAACATTGGTTCAAGTAAAGTCTGACTGCCGATAAGAACCTATGTTTAAATGATTTCAGGGGTGTGCTTGTGTTGAAACGATGCGGCTGAAACTGTTTTATGTGGAGGGACAGATATGTGAAGGAAGCGCTTTGTCTGCATGTTTATTTTCCACAAAGTGGTAATTTTTTACCATGGTGAGATGATGATGGGGTGAGTCAGTCCTCAGATGTGTGGGTATAATCGGCAGTTTCTCTTGACGAGAAGACAAACACACAAACGGAAATAGTGAATAAGTGTACAAAGCAGACCTTGGATATATATTGCCGTGTAAAAGTACACTGTGTACAAAAACGGCATAAAAATAAAATCTAGTTTAAGCTAGATGTTTTACTTTTGATTGCCTTTGTTGGCTTTTCCTTTTGTCGTGTTCAAGCTTACTGTTTCTCTCAAGGTCGGTGGCGGGTGTTGCAAATGAGCAAAGTCTCTTGCAAGTGCAAGCTGTGTGGAAGTCACACATTTTTGAAAGGTCACGAAGAATTTGACAAGCTTGCTGATTTATCCCGATTTCCAAGCTTGCTGGCAGCCAGGATCTGAGAGCGATGGTCGCACATCAAGGGACAGCAGCAAAGTAACACGTGGCCTGGTGGCGGAAGGCGGATGCGTGGCAGGAACGGTAGTTTTTATTGTTCAGCAATATTTGCGGATTTCCTGCCTGGCCGTATCCAATTTGACCACATTAAAGCAAATAAACTGACCGGCACGACAGGCACACGCTAGACGCGGAATTTACAGCCACAAAAATGCCGACTCGTTAACTTGGGCAGAGCAGCTGTAAACGTTTCATTTAAAATAGTGCCATTTTGCTACGAATGCAGTTTTACATTTAAAACGATTCGCAGGTTTGGCAGCCAATTAGCACCTGCGATGAGCACAGTTTGGCTCCGTATGGTGCAAAATAAGTTCTGCATACAAACATTATCATAACGACGTGACGGCCTTTTCGAGATGAACCTCTTTTGCAAGGGTAACCTGGACTAAAGTACGAGGCAAATGCAGTGCGTGTAGCAGGTAAAGGAGCAGTCCTGCAATTGCCTGCTCATGCCACTGCTGGCAGAAGGGTCCTCTACTTCAGCATTATTCGGTGTTTTGTGGGGTGTAACGTTTAACACATTGGAGGCTTTCACGACCAATATCCACAATAGAGGTTTTTGGGTTAGATCGCGTAAATATATCAATGTGTCGTTGAACCCGCCACTACCCAACAGTCAATTAGTAAGATTTGTCACGTGAACAAAATGTGCCAATTCGTTACTAGTACAGCACACCAGTGTGTTGGATTAATGGTGAAACGTCGTACTCGAATAGTAAATGTTGTGGGTTTACTCTCCAACACACCGGTGTACTGAACTAGTAACGAATTGGCACGTTTTGTTTACAAACCTTACTAATTAGCTGTGTAGGGTGGTGGCGGGTTTGACGATACATTTTCTTTACAAATTTAACCTAAAACTCCTATTATGTAACTGGTCTGTCAACAATTCTAAACTAAAGTCGATCCAGAATTTTGTAATTTTTGTGCTCACATTGAGGCTTTTTTTGTTTCTATTTTATTTTCATCTGAGTAAAACAATGTTTACAGTCTGTTGTTATAAATTGTCCACTCACAATTGGAAGGTTTCAATTTCCACTCCCAGTCTACAGTGTCGGTCGGTGGTGTCGAGTCTTCTGGTTATCACTCCAAAGTCAATCAATTGACAAGCGCTTTGCAGGATGTCAACATTGTGGAGGCCCGAGGAAAAAGATTGCCAAAGGAGACGATTACCGCTTGAGCCTCAATTGAGCACAGAGACACCGCCTCTGATTTTTGTTACTTTTTTTACGAAGAGGCAACCCATAAAACAATAATCTCACTCGGAGATACGTACACTTACCTCATGCCTATTCAACACGTAACTTTTAAGCTTTGTTCACGGAATAAAAAGCTATTAAAATTCCAGTCAGGAGCATCCGAGTAGTAATTATGCTCCAATTTCACTCCTGCTCTCTAAATACAATTTCAATACAGTGACAGCACTCCACTGCTCCTGGCGACATCTATCAACGCATCTATAGGGTGCCGTGGTGGCGAGATGTTATCTCCTCGCTTGGTACGCAGGAGGTCGTGGGTACGATCCCAACCCCCTGACACTTGTATATTTTGAGTTTACATGTTCTCCCCGTGGTCACGTGGATTTTTCTCCGTGTCTTCAGATTTCCCCCCCACATTTAGAAACATGCGTTTAGATCATTTGACTGCTATAAATGTGCACATGATAAGCCACTTCGTTGAGATATCATTTGTGGCCAGGTCACTTCTGAAAAAGAGCTACATAGCTCGGTCGGTTTTACCTGGTAAAAGAAAGTTTTTGTTCAGCATTAAAAAAAGCTCCAGCCTCTGCCATCGTGGTACACACATATTCGACAGCCTAGTACACGACGCATTCGACGAACTAATCTGTCAAATATAATCTACTTGTTTTTCTGGTTGCATTTATCAGAATTCGAGGTTTTGAACTCTGGGTGTCAAATACACCGACTTGGAGCAGACATAAATATTATTGCCGTCCATCGTTCAGCCAGATTGTCCTGCAGATATTTATACATTTGGGTGTGATCTTTTATTGCGGGCTTAAGCATCACGGGGTGCTTATTTTCATGATGTTTGTCTTTCAGTCAAGCTTGATATACAGCGAGTGAAAACTATTAACAGCTATTTATCACATTTATTATTTTGATTGATAAAGTCACTTTAAGACTTTACTTTCATGTTATGTTTCCCAAATGCAGCGCTGCAACGATAACACAAATGTGTACTGTGCAATGAAATAGCTGCGCGATTGCCTGTTGACTGTGGCTTTAAACGTTTGAAGCCCCCCCCCCCCCCCCCCCGTATGCCGTTAGTGCTCGTGAACTCGTGCAAATATGTGGCACCAAAATATCAATCTCGTGAAAATCTTCTTTCACAGCAAAGTTGCAAATTCCACAATTCCTCAAATCCAAGTTGTCCCCCTTCTCGGGGAGTGAACAATGAGTGGTGCCCATCTCCGCCTGCCAGTCCCGAGTCAAATGTTTTTATTCCGCGTTCTTTTGGCCGAGTCCAGTCCCTCTTCAGGACAAGACTTTAAACTCCCAGAGAGCAGCACGTCCCTAACAGATATAAATCTTACAATGCACGTCAGTGTTACGTAAACGGATCAGGTGACACTGTGACATGGCAGGAGGACATTTCGTCTTTGTGCTGTTGGTTGAACGTGGGACAATGCTGTGAGCCAGTGGTGGAAAATTGTGTATTCGATAAACAATTGAAATGTTTTCGGGTAAGGCGCCCACTGAGCTATATAGCGCTCTTTCAGAAGCGACCTGGCCACCAATGATAGGTCTGCGAAGTGACTTATCATGTGCAAATGTATTGCAGCCAAATCCTTTCAATTTACTCTAAATTCATGTGGTGAAGACCAGTTCATCCGTAAGACTACCATCTGTGTGGGCTGCTAACAGTAATTTGAATTTGCAACCTTTTGGTTGGTGAATTAAGCACCCTACCCAAGATAGGCGAGTTACTGTGTTAAAATATGGTGCAAATTTACAGTTTTTTGTCAATCCACTGCTGGATGAAGGCTCCCCCATTCCACATTGGTCATGGGGGTTATGTTTCCCATCCTTCACCATGCTGGTCAGTCCGGGTTCGTGAAGGGGGGCGGCCCATGACAGATTGAGATATCACTTGTCCCAGTTGACTGGCCAGTAAGCCACCTCAGCTCAGCATGCTGACCACTGCACCACCGTTATAGTGTTTTATTAAAAGTATGCTCAACACATACTTTACCAACATCTTTATTCACAAAGAGTACCTCCAAGAATTCCGACTCAATAACTAGTGGAAACCTTTCTATGCTTTCATATCGTCTGCTGGCTGAGTCGCTCCCTTAAAAAAGAGCTCCTTAGCTCTGTATGAGCTTTACTTGGTGGGAAACAAACTTCTGACTCCGTTGTCCATTTGAAGACGACGATTCTTAATCCGGCCCCGTTTCCTCCACAGTGTTCGAGATTCCTGAGTTCGAGGCATCGACGGACGTGGACTCGCACCGACCGGCCGACAAACGGCAGGCGGTGTCGCCGGAGCGTTCGGCCCGGCAGACGTCCCCTCCCCGGGCGGCTCCTGCTGCTCCTGCTGCTACTGCTGCTGCGTCTCCGCCGTGGCAGAGTCGCTCCGAGAGCCGGGCCCCAGCGGCAGAGAAAAGGGCGGCTTCCCCGCCACCGTCGATATCGGCGTCGCCTCCGCCGTCGCCACCGCAGCCGAAGAAGCAGTTGCCGCAGCAGCAGCAACAGCCGCAGCAGCAGCAACAGCCGCAGCAGCAGCAACAGCCGCAGCAGCAGCAGCCACTGAAGCAGAAGGCATCGCCGACACGCGCTCCGCAGATCAACGACGTGCAGGTAAAAGACACCAAAGTTAAGTCGAAATTGCAAAACGAGAAATCGGTGTGCTGCACCGGCAGTGGGGTGCACAAGCACGGACGGCCAAAGCCTGGGGCATGCTCGTCAATAACACAACCACGGGGAGAGAGACATGCAAACACGAAATCTAAAGGTGTCAGGGTCAGGGTCGAACCCCCGACCTCCTGCATACCAGGCGAGGAAGATAAGTGGAGTGAGATCGTTAACCCCGGAGCAGGTGTTCCCATCGCAGGCCACACCAGCAGCTGCCGCCCCTCCAGCTGCCGCCCCTCCAGCTGCCGGCCCTCCAGCATCGCCGCAGACGTCGCCACTGTCGCCGGCGGGCCGCACGGGCACAGCAGCCGTGCTGCAGAAGGCCCAGGCCCTGTGGAGGCCCGAGGAGGAAGAGCAGGAGCGGCCTGACGACAACGACTGGGATGACGGTGAGAGAATGCGGCCTGATTGACGGCACAAGCAGAGCCCGCTCGCTGCAACGTCACCGATATTGGTAGCGCAGCACGCTAACCCGCTGCGCTGCCGCTCCCCACGCGCACCAACACATACAAACACGCAAGTCAGGGAGCATAAACCATCACGCGAAGTTTAGTCATCCTCGCAACGACTTTTGGCGAACCATCGAACAAAGACAGTTACCGCATCGTGCACTTTCAGATGCGCATGCTGCGGCCGTCTGGAATGCCCTTCTGATATTAGGACGCCACTGGAGCTATGCATTTTTAAATCATCGTCTAGATTGAACACTAATTTGTTTAGAACTGCTTTTTGTGTTTAGTTTGTTGTCCTTCCCCTGCACCTCCGATTAGCAAGGTTGGCTATGTTCGGTGCAAAACAAGTTCAATATACATATGCACGTCCACCCGTACCAGCCCCACACACATACACAGGGAGCAGCTTCTGCACTTTGTGATTGTGACCAGCGCCGCCCAGAGTTTCCTGGAGACCCGGAGATGGAGGCCCCGGGGTAAAACGCCACAGCGGGTGTGGGGGGGGGGGCCTTATTCACAAACACAAACAAACTACATGTATCTTGATTTGAAGCTTTCGTGACTGCAGGAATCCATACTCTTTGGTTCTTTCGGTAAAGCATGCAGCAGACCATGCTTTCCCACCTGATGATGGACGCTTGTGTTGTGCCCGAAACGTCGTGATTTATTTTATTTTATACCTACGAAAGAACCAAAGAGTATAAACTACGTTGTGTGTGGGGGGAGGGGGGGGCACCTCTTTTGTGTGAGACCCAGGGGGAAACTAGTCCCCTTTGCCCCTCTGGCTCTGGGCGGTTCTGCACGGGCGTGGTGGAGGGCTGTACGGATGATGCGCCGCTGTGTGCCGCCTGCAGAGCACCAGCCGGCGGCGGACGCGTACTACCCGCACCAGGTCGGCAACAACAACAACAACGGCACGGAGCGTCCCGCGCACGTCGAGCAGCCCGGCCAGGACACGGCACAGGTCAGGGATCGCACCTGGCTTCCTGCTGCCCCACGCAAGCCTGCGTGCCTGTCCAGTCTGGCGGGGCTGCTTTCCTTTTTTGAAGTGCTGTCCCTCGGCTGTCTTTGCAAACGTCTGGGTGTGTGAATGTGTGTGCGCGTGTATATGGGGAGCGGTAGTTTTAACGGTTAGCGCTACGAATCCGGCAACCCGAGTTCGATTCCCGCTCACGACCAACACCGGTGACGATTATCTGAACCGGTCCTGGGCCTCCCCTAGGTTGAATCGGCCTCAAATGAGTACAAGGTGCGGTGTGTAAACATCGCCACTGGGGAGACAAAGGCAGCCGGGCGTGGTGTTGGCCACCCACCCCCTCGTGTACCTTGCCGGCCTTCATAGATGCCGGAAGGCCACTTGAACGTTTGGAGCGGCGCGTGAAAGCATTGTGGGCGTGACCGTGAAGCGGGGATTGAACGGGCGTGGGTCTTGTGTAGAGGACCGGGGGGAGGTGGGGGAAGGGGGGGTGATGGCGGGTGACCGAGACTTGTGTCCGAGTAGCACCCAGTGGCCCACGACCAAGCGCAACCTTGAAGCCACATCGTCGTGGTCTATACGCACCTGTTAGGCTCGCGGTGATGACGTCGCCTTTCCTCTGTTTAAGACAGAAACAGGAAATCTTCTTCACAATTCTGGAAAATCGTCTGATGAAGCTGGTTGTAATCGCCAGCGAAAGGTCGTACTAGAATTGTAAATGTTTTTTGGGTTTACTCTCCAACACACCGGTGTGCTGAAGTCGTAACTCATTGGCGCGTTTTGTTTAAGTGACAAACCTTACTAATTGGCCGCGTCGGGTGGTGGTGGGTTAACGAAACATTTATATTTACGCCTTCTAACCCAAAATGAACGTTATTATGCACATCGTCGTGGCTACTCGCAGGCAGATGCGCTCCCCGAAAAGTGCCACGTTTAGCAAGGAATTACTGTATATACATTACAGGGCATGAATATATACGATGCAAATTTGTAGCACATTTGCGCTATAAAATCAGCCTGTAGATATCCCATGGCAGAACAGAGGGCTGAGATGAGGGTACGCCGCCGCATACCGTATCACTCCGCGCGTAAACCCAGAATTCCCCCATTATTCGGCCGCACAGCTCAAGAAAGTAGTTAATCGTCGACCGCTCATAAACTGCGTTATATAACGCTGCGCGTTCCGTGTTGCGCACAAAGTATTCCCCAATAGAAGAAACAACCCCATTAAATTTCGATTTAAAGCTTTCGTGACTGCAGGGATTCATATTCTTGGTTCTTTCGGTAAAGTCACGTAGAAGGGAAATAATAAAATAATAAACATACAACTATTACATTCTCACGACGTTTCGATTGCAACACAAGCAATCATCATCAGGTGTGAAAACCACAGCAAGAATTTTTTTTTTAATTCAAATTTTCTTGCGGTGGTTTTCACACCCGATGATTGCTTGTGTTGCAATCGAAACGTGAGAATTTAACTGTTTTGTTTTTATTATTGTATTATTTTCTTCTACGTGACTTTACCGAAAGAGCCAAGAATATGAACCCCATTAAAGAAAAAACATTTTATAGTGTCAACACGCGATTAGGAGGACTTTGCCGCACTTTAGGAGCAAGTCGTAAAATTGGCTGTCGCCTGTGCAAATCGGATCTGGCAGAGAGCAGGGAGTGAGAGAGAAGTGTGGCGGTAGCAATAACTGCACGGTAACAAAACAAAAACGTTGCAACGATGTCCAAATGAACTAAATACAGAAATATCCCACTGAGAGCATATTCAAACATTGGACATCTTTATAATTACTGAGATTCCAAACGTAGCATTGTAGCCGTACTTGAATATCAACCATTCAGTATGTTTTGACACACGTCAGATGACTTACATTTCACAAAACATCTTTAAAAATAAAACAAAGACACAATTGGATTGTTGTGAACATAGCTTGCCGCGCTGGGTGATGTCATAGTTGTCGCGATTAGCCGCACATCCCCCTGTTTACGACAATTGGTTTTAAGAGCCATGCTTCTGGCTCGTATCTCATAAGGACAGCCTTACATTTGTTGTTTTCACCTTATCGTCAAACGGCACGCTCGCAATCAGCCTCACCTACCATCAGTTTCTGTCATTATCGGCGAATAATATTTTTACGAGGGTGTACCATATCCAAGGTCCTGTCCTATCGGTGTCGGGGATATGCGAGTCAGTGAAGCCTTTGCTTGTGATAAGATAAAGTGCGTGCCGCCCCCCGCTTTCTCCCACACCAAGATAAGCTCTGATTTCATTTGAAGTCACACATGTGCCTTGGCCAAGCCAAACACTTTGCAGTGCATACAATAGCAGGGAGAGACATCTTTCAGGCGCAGCCAGCAAGCTAAGGTTCACGTACGCGTTTGTGCGTGCGTCTGTGTAATCGCGGAGGGGGGGGGTGATGGTGCGGTGGTTAAGTGCACTGCACTAAGACCCCATCTCACCTGAGTTTGATTCCCAACTACACCGCTAACTCACGTCAGCGACCAGTGATATCTGCACTTGCACTGGGCCTTACCTGGGCTGACTTGGCCTTACATGAGTACCTGGTGCCGTGTATAAACATCAGCACTGGTGGGTAGGCAGAGGTGGTGAGGCTTGGTGCTGACCACACAAACCTCCTAGCGTTCCACGCATGCTTGCTGATAGCGCTTTGCCACAACAGTTTGTATGTCCCTATGAAGTTGGGGGCGGGAGGGGGGTATATTTGTATTTGTGTGGTATAAGGGTGCTGTGGTGCTGACATTTAAGCACTGGGCCTCCCCTGCCACTGGTTAGTGAGTTGAACCACAACTCCCGGCTCCCTGGGTTCTATTCCCGATGATACGCGCCGATTGCGGCTCGTATCTGAATGATCGGCAAGGTGCGGTGGGCCTCTGCCCGAGGTCGATGCAGCCCAAAGTAAATGTGCTGGATGCAAGAGGGTAGGAAATTGAGAACAGACATTGGCCGTAAAGGCGTCTTGATTGCCGTCTCTGCAAATAGCCCGTGCCATGATATTGTCGCCAGCCGTGCACGTGAGACCAAGGTAGCTCTATGCATTGCTGGCCCTGCCTGCACGTGCCGTGCCAACCTCAATAGGTGTAGATTCGATGTCGAGTTTTAAAAGAAAGTGAAATGGTCTTGACTGGTTGTGTACAAAGGTTGTTTGGTTGGTCGTTTATTTTTTGGCACAGACAAACACCCGATGGGGACGTCGTCGCACAATTGGAACCTGGATACAGTGAAAACAGTTACAAAACTTCTTAAAAACAATTGTACTCAGTCAACGTCCGAATGGCATGGTACAGTCAGCATAATGAATATGACAATGGTAGTAAAACAACATCGCCTATAGTAAATGTTGCGTGCAAAACAGCACCGAGCTAGTTAACATCGTAAAAGAATCACGTTTTATAAACTTTGTCTGCAAAGCTGAGCGACGAATTCCGCGTGCTTATGAAAGGAAATTAGAGGTTCGAAAGTGATTTAAAGTAGCACAAGGATGGTAATCTTTTTAATCCCAAACATTTTCACCGACGCAGCTTGGCGGATTAGTACGGTTGGCTACGTAAGGTGCAAAAGAAGTTCATCATGCGTACATACATACATACATGCTCACATGCGACAACGTCCCAGTTTCATCGCAGTGCCGCATGGGTCGCGTGAGCAACGCCTTCCATGCCTGGCGCTCTCACGTCAGTCGCCGACGACTCATCCCCGTGAGCTCCGTGTGTTGTAGCGTGGCCACCTGCCGCTGGTGTAGGAGTCGTGTCTGTGTGTGGGGAGCGGTAGCATAGTGGTTCCCGCGCTGCGCCATGAACCCAACATCCTGGGTTTGATTGCCGTTCACGGCCAATGCCAGTGACGCTTATCTCAACCGGTCCTGGGCCTCCCCTAGGTCAAGTCAGCCTCACATGAGTACCTGGTGCAATGTGTAAACATCGCTACTGGGGAGACAAAGGCGGTCGGGCGTGGTGCTGTCCATCTTTCTCCTCGTGTACCGTTCCGGCCTTCATAGGTGTTCCCGAACGACACTTGCTCCTACAGTCTGTTAAGGCTATACGGGGGTTCTTTGTCTTGTTTGTATGTTGAACTTTTTTGCACTCTAAGTAGCCAACCATGCTAATCGAAGGTGTGTGGAAGGCCAACAAACTAAGCATAAAAGTCAGTTGGAAAGAAATTTGAGTTTTCAATCTAGATTTAAAAGTGCATGGCTCCAGTGGCTTCCAAATATCGGAAGGAAGAGCATTCCAGATGGCCGCAGAAGCGCATCTGAAAAGCGGGCGATGCGGTGACCGTCTCCGTTCGATTGCTCTCCAAAAGTCGCTCTTGCGAGGATAACCGGAGTTCGCGGGATGGTTTATGCTCTGGAGGAGCAGTTGGCCAAGAATAAGCTTTAATTGCCACGACTGTCACCGTGGAAGAGGGTCACGGTCCACATCGGTAGGTGTGGTTTGTAATTGGTTCATTGTAGCTTTCGTGGTTTTGGCAAAGCGTGTTGTGATTTCTTCCGAGGTCTAATGGGATCGGTTGCATTCCGGGTAATTTGGTCATAGACAACTAAGAAGCTCAGCTGGGTTGATCGTGCTTGGACGAGCAGCCGCCATGCACGGCAGGTGTCATAGGTTGTGGGAAAGTGTGGTCTACAGCAGACGGCACGGCAGCAAAGATCCATTGTTGCACTGTACTTCTATTGTACCCCAAAGTCTCTACTCCACACCTATTAACCTACACTAACCAGCGTAGCCAACTCGCCACGGCCCGCGTGGCATGGGGAGGCCCTCATCCAGCAGTGAATTGACGAAGGGAGCCGTGCTCGTACGACGGTATTGCACGGTTCTTTATTGCCTTAACCTTATTGGCATATCTAATGTGTTGTGAGATTGAACGTTGAGTGTATCGTTGGTAAGCATTCCTTTACCCCGTCTGCTCAGACGTAGGTGTGTGAGCGCTCACAACATTCTGTGCCCGTGGCGCCCCTCTCGCCGTTGCGTTTTGCAGACGGACCCGTCCGGCTACTACTACTCGCAGTACCAGGAACAGCCGACCTACCAGCAGGACGGATACCAGCAGGAGTCTGCCGACGGCTATCCGACGGAGCAGTACGACCTGGAGGGCAAAGGGCAGTGCGCCCGTGCCCTCTACGACTACCAGGCCGGTGCGTGCTCGCCCTCCCCCCTCGCTAGTCGCCACAGCCACTGATGCGGGAGGTCATGGGTTTGAATCCCAGACGCTGGCGATGCCTGCTGCTGTATATTTGGTGATTTACGTGTCCTCTCTCTCTGCCCGTGTAGATATCTCTCCGGGTTTCTCCAGTTCCCCCCCCGCTCGACCTCCACATTTAGAAACAACACGAGTTTCGATTCTATTTTGGCTGCTACTATAAACTCGCACGTGTGTTATGATGATCATATACTTTGCTTCGATGCACTATCATGTGTGACCAGGTCACCCCTGAAAATGAGCTGCCTGATAGAATATAAATGTGTTTAGTTTAGTCAGTATTAGTTCAGTAGATTTGGTATTCATGCCATTCTTGTGTGTATGTATGTGCGAACTTCCTTCGCACCGTACGTAGGCAACCGTGCTAATCTTCCGGTGCAAAGCTCTCACGGAGGAGCTTTGTTTCAGGGGCGAGTACCGTCCACCAGTAGGGGGCGATTTTACACGTGCTTTTATCCAATTGAGTAATTTGCGAGCAATTATTCAAATCTGGCTAATTTTGCCTGTGATGCCAGCAACACACCGATGGTCTGCTGCCCTCTCGTGAAATAACGTCGTTGGGATCTTTAACCCCCCACGGTGAAGCAGCCGGCATCTGCAATACGACAGTTATTATTCGGGATTATTTTTTCTCTCCCTTTGCTGCATATTCCTATAAGTTGTGTGTAGACACAGAGATGTCACATCTCCGTATGTGCCCATTTCCATCGGCAGCCCTAAGCCTGTGGTTGGATTTCTGCACTTTTCTCTTTGGCGTCCGTTTCTCTGTATGTAAAGCAACTCTTAGATTTCCCACATAGTCATACGTATCAACCCGTAGAGATGATGGGGTGGGGGGGGGGGGGGTGCTGAGTGTTACCCAAACGGGAATTGAAATGATGACCATTCCGTTCTGCTGCAGCGTCAGCGGAAATGAAATTGTAGTCGGCCATGGCGTCTCTGTGCTCACAGTGGACATTGCTGACACATTCGTCACCACTGGTAGAAACTCTCCATCCCCATAATTAGGCTGGTCCTTGTGGAATGTTTAATACTCGCTCAGTGCCATCATTGGAGGGAGAAGATCGCTCGCTGGGGAATGTTCATTCGAGAATGGCAACAAAGTTGAATTAAGTCGCTTTAATAAATATTTGTTCTCATTGGATGGAGCGGTGATACGGTGGTTAGGTTAGTACACTGAGCTATGAACCCGGCGACCCAAGTTCGTCGGCCTGCCACTGCCAACATCAGTAGCGCGTGATGTGAGAACTGGTCCTGCCCTCCCCGCCTTCACCAACCCGCATTGACCAGCGCGGTGAAGTATGGTAAACAAAACAAACCTACGTTGCATGGGAAGGCCCTCATCCATTGGTGGATTGAGAACGGCTATAATGTTTTTATTGTCATCATCATCGTTCTCATGAATCAAGGAAGAGGCGTTTATATTTGCACGACGTAATAGTGAGACAAGGGAAAGTGGTGGCCCGATAGGATGTCTCCCTCGTCGCGTGACGTCTCCTTCCCCGTGCCTCCCCGTCGCTCACGCACAGCGGACGAGACGGAGATCACCTTCGACCCCGATGACCTCATCACGCACATCGACCAGATCGACGAGGGCTGGTGGCGCGGCTACGGGCCCGACGGACGCTACGGCCTCTTCCCAGCGAACTACGTCCAACTCCTCAACTGAGCCGCCCCCCTCCCCCCCTCACCGCGGCGGCCACACGCTAAGTTAAACAATTAAGTCGGCTTTTGTCGGCGTACGAGAAATCTAGAATAGTAAACGGGCGCGACGACGACGCCGCCACGACCAAACTGTTACTCCGCTCCGATGCTCTTGGCATGCAAGCATGGTCTGAGCCCCGGGCAAGCCGAGTTTGTCGCAAGCAATCCAAGCCGGTGTTAAATCGTTCCGACGCGTCACATTCCACGGCGGTTAAGTAGAGAATTGTGTTATTTTTACGCTGTCGGCTGCCGCTTGCTTGTTTTTGGGGTCTAGTGTCGGCGCGCACCGCTACGGTTTGCGTTTTCTTAATTGTTGAGCCTGGCATTACTTTCTGGCTCGTGTGTTGGTATTTTTTTTTCTACTTTACTTTCATATATAAAATGTGTTACGCCCACTCCGTTTTAAGTGTTTTCACGTAAGTGGCCCTGATTGTTGATGATGTCTTTGTATGAATTCCATGGCCAAATAATTAAACAACACTATGCATTTAAATATTTTTTTTGTTTGCTTTTGGAGAGAAGGTATTGGGGGGATCGGGGCGCGCGGGGGGGGCGGGGGAGGTGGCTCAGAGGCGAATGCCCATTGCACACGTGCGCTGCGTTGTCACTATCGGGTTCCTGGTTTAAATCCCAGCCCCCTGGCGGTTACGCCAGGTTACCAAGTGCAGCGAGTTGCTCGCCACAGCCCAGTCACCAACGACGGTGACTTAGTCTAAGTATGTCCCTGCTCAAACAAGCATTGGGCCTGTGCTAATCGATCAAAGCCAGTGGTCGAAATTGCACATTTTACATGGCAGAGGGCCATTTTTTTCTCCGTGGGATGAACACTTCTAACCACAGAGAGTGGTCCTCACTTCATTGTCCACAGAGGAGTGGTGGACTGAGTCGATTCCCACGAATCGGACATTCAAATCGCAAGCTGCCAACGAGAACCTTCCGTAGCCTCTCACCTGCGGGGTTGATCGGGCTAACCGTCAAGCCGCGTAGATATCACTACCGTAGAAACTTCCACTACATTCGGTCTCGATCATCTATGAGGGGGGGGGGGGGGGCGTGGAGGGGTGCTACCTTTTGGAAACGTACGTTGTTGGGTGACTGACATGTGAAAAGCAACACTGGCAAAGCATTAACAAGGCTGTGGCGAAGGCTATTTTGTGCCGTACTATACATTACTGATTACAATACGCCTTGGCTTTATTTCAGCCAATGGTACCAAAGGACGATTTGGCTGCGTGGTGTAAATGACAAGTCTCGCTGCCCGTGCCGTGACATGCCTTCGCTCGCCATTACAATAACGGTGCTGGGCTTGATGGTCTCTGAACCTACATCACCAGAAAAAAGTTGTCCTAAGATTGAATCGTTGTTTTGTTTGTTGGTTACTGTAGTTCAGAGCGATGGTCTTGTTGTATAAAATATGTTATTCTCAGTGGAAAAGACGTTGGATTACTTTCCTGGCCTTTATGTTAGGACACGTTCGCTTTTCACGTGCTACAGCATTCACTCACTGCAGGTGGCGTTTGACCAGGTTCAGTGGTTCATGCCCCCTCCACGCATTGTCGATATATAGCGATAGCGATAGCATGCACGATGTACAACACATTAAGTTGACTTCCTTCTCAGATTCTAAGATGTATCAATTTGCATTTGTTAGGGTTAATGTTACCACCCCGGAATGTATTACTCCAACTTAATATTCGTAAACATTGCGAGTGTGTCATTTTAAATGGTATGTTTTTTTGAAAATGAAGCAATGGCTTTTGTACAATGTTCCGTCTGTCGACCATCATTCAGCCTCACATTTTATTTGTGTCCAAGGTTCAAGTGAAGTCCGCTTCTTGGTATTAAATTCTGGCTTTCGGTTGCATCGAGAACATTCACAAGACGAAGGATGCCTGGCGTTTAATAATACAGTTCAATGGTGCAGTGCGTGTGAAATCCGATACTGGACTTAGATATTTTTTCCTCTTTGTGCGCCGAGACCACTTCTTCTGGCACTGCGACATAGGCAGCATGAAACTTGATTTGAAGCTTTTGTGACTGTAGGAATTGCTCTTTGGTTCTTTCGGTAAAGTTACGTAGAAAGAAATAAAATAAAATAATGGAATTCGACATTTCGATTGCAACACAAGCAACGGTCATCAGGTAGAACTACATTTGAGAGAGAGAGACAAAACACAAACACGGAGACAGAGACACACAGAGAGAGAGACGCACAACATAGACACACAGAGACTCAATGCCTCTGTGTCGAGGCTTTAAATAAAGAGAGGTGGGGGGGGGGCAGAGAGAGAGGTGGGTCTGCTGGGGCAGCTGCTGGAGCAGAGAAATTAGAATGTCAATGAAAGACCCAACAAGACTGTGGAAATCCACCCCGAAGAGACCGAGGGAGAGAAAGATCGTATGGACCTATGAGAGCCTGGTCAATTTTAGAGAGAGAAATAGGCAGTTTGAGAAAACAAAATGTAGCAATTTTTCGATTTAAAGCTTTCGTGACTGCAGGGATTCATCTTCTTGGTTCTTTCGGTAAAGTCACGTAGAAGGGAAGTAATAAAATAATAAAAATAAAACATAATAAAACAATTCTACGTGACTTTACCGAAAGAACCAAGAAGATGTAGCAATTTTGTTTTGTGTCTCTCTCTGTGTGTCTCTGTGTTGTCTCTCTCTCTGCTTGTGTGTCTGTGTGTCTCCGTGTCTGTGTTTTGTCTCTCTCTCAAATTTAGTTCTACCTGATGACGGTTGCTTGTGTTGCAATCGAAACGTCGTATTTTCTATAATTTAATATATTTTCTTTATACGCATCATGGCCTAGACACCGCGCAATTTCTAAAGACCTCGAAGCTAGCACGTGAAATAGTTTTCACTCTTCGAGCCGATTGCGTGGCTTCCGTTGTCGTTCGTAGCCGTGCTGAACTTTGTGAACACTTCCTTAAAGGCTCTCTGGAGATTTTCCACAAAACTTTTATTTTCGTGTGGCACACAGGAAACGGTGCATGCCTCGCCGTGTTGTAAATGCCAAATCCATTAACTGTTATCTTTTTATTTTTGTTCCCTACTAATGGCCTTTTGGTATGCGACGGGCCCATCAAGTCAATAAACATTCATTTTTGTTTTTTGTTTATTGAGATTGGCGCACCAGAAACAGATGCCAGGCTGTTCACAAGACATGAGGGTAGAATTTCAAATAGAAATCCTCCAAACACTGCAATCTAAATTCCAAAGGCAAGTCGATGTGTCTCGACGCACTTCAGGACAGCCGTGAGACAGAACTCGTCTCTTTTGACTGCTCAGAGCCAGCAATGGAAAAGCCACTTCCCCATGGAATGCTTCGTCGTCGTCATCTCGATAGGATGACTATACTGTTTACTTCCCACCGTGATTCTCATTTTTATAAAGGACACAAAAATAGCAGACCAAGTCAACCAACCCCCATGCTGGATGTGAACTCCAGCGGGCTTTGATCATCGCAATGTTTAGTTTGCGTAGACTAACACATGTAACTATATATCAGTAAATGATACATATAATAATTTCTACCCTTGTCAGTCCGCTGCTGGATTAAGCCCTCTCCATGCCATGCTGAGTCATGGGTTTTATTTGACCATACTTTACCACGCTGGTTCGTGCAGGTAGGTCAAGGATGACCCAGTATCAGTTCAGATATTGCTCTCCGCTGATGGTTGCCATGGCCAGGTATTGAACTCGGGTGTCGGGATTCGTAGCACAATGCGCGAACCGCTACAAAACTCCTCCACCCCATCATTCTACATGTATACGCGTGTTATTTCGAATGTTCTTTCTCAGATGCAGTCCACTAATTAGCTGTGTCGTGAACACGGCTTGTTTTTAATAATACTCATGAGTGATGAGCATTGTACGGTTTGTGATGACAGCGAACGCGAGGGAATCGATTCTTGAACCCTCGTTCCACACGGCATTTTGTGAGTCTCTGCCCTGGGAGGTTCGGTTAAGCGTCCGGCAGTTATTTAAGCTGCTGCTGGATATTGCTCACTCCTCATGAGCCCAGCAGCTTGGAAAGTTTGCACTGAGAGCGTGTGCAGGACAGCCACGTCGCCGTTTAGTCAATATGTCTAGAGGAGGAAGTACAGCAGATAGGTTTTTTTTCTGCAAAAGTTTTAGCGTGCTTTTCTTTTGTCTGCATTTCTTTCTTCCAGGCATTTCTGTTTTTTTTTTTGCAAACATAGCAACAAGCTCATTACGAAAATGGCCAAACTTCCCAACATCATAGAACCATCCTTAAAACGTCCTTGACACAATGAGAATCTTCCTTGATAAAAAAAATTAAGGCGTTGTAATTTTTAATTATAAAGCAATATATGTATACGTCGTCATGTAGAAATGTGTTTGTTTTTCTTTTTGCTCCCCCGTGGCGCATTAAAAATATACAGGGTCATCCAAAAGTCAGGACAAGCAGGGTTATATTTATTTCTTTTAACAAATGACATGGATATTTAATTTATTTTAAACAAATGTTCAAACTGACTTCTATGAACATTAATGCATGCATGAATTCTCTTTTGTAATTAATTTTGGACCTTTTTTTAAGATCTCAGCTGCCTTCAGCATTCGTACAAAATAATTGAACGCCTTCATCTTTAAGTAAAATTTGTATTCATGTTGTTTAAATGTCATCTGAAAGGCAAGATGAAACATAGACGGTAATAATGATGATCAAAGATAAAATATTAACTTGAAATCAACTATTTAAAAAGGTTCGAAGGCAGTTAAAAGTTAAAGTAACCCCCCCCTATTTGTCCTGACTTTTGGACAACCCTACACAGACACTATGAGACCTCCTTTACCAGTGGCAAAATATAATAATAGGTTTTTACCCTTTCAACTGGTACAAAAAAACTGACACCTTTATACAAGGCATCATGTTTGCAATAACCACAACACAAGCAGTCAAAATGCAAACAAAAAGAAACAACTCTGATGATGATAATGATATGCATTTGTACATGCAATACGCCTTTTGGCGTCATCTAGTCCAACACCAATGGAGACTAGGCTCTAAGAAAAGCTGTCTCGGGTGTGGACCAATCAACTGCAAGGACAGTGCAAATCATTATCATCATCAGAGTTGTTTCTTTTTGTTTGCATTTTGACTGCTTGTGTTGTGGTTATTGCAAACATGATGCCTTGTATAAAGGTGTCAGTTTTTTGTACCAGTTGAAAGGGTAAAAACCTACTACTAACCCCACACAGGGCAGGCAACACGTCCTGCCGGCGATGTCTCTCGTATGTTGCAGCTGGGAGAGCCATTGTGGCCCAAGCGCAGGATTCCAATCTGAATATCACGAGTTCACATTCCAGTCGAGAAGCAGCTTGGGTCATCATCGTCCCCCACCCAGGGAGGACTCGGTAAAATAAGCGTCGCAGCGGGAAGTCGCCAGTGCTTGTCCCCCATCATAGGAATGTGGATTTTTTTTTCCCCACAGCCGCTGAGTCGGTGCCATGAACAAGATGGGG